GTGGCTCTGATACCATGTTGAAAAAAAAAGAAATAAACTCTTGTTGAAATCACACAAAAAAAAACTATGAAAGGAGGAACTTCTCTCTTGTCATCTCCATGATTCTTCAAAAAAAAACCCAACTCCTAACAAACTCTCTCAGATCATCCTATCTTCTCAAAAAAAGGAAAAAAAGCGATTGTTGTTTCTCTCCAATTCACCATATCAAAATCGCAAACCCAATTTTTTTTCCATCACCAATTCTTAACCTATTTTTTCTCTCTAAAATCACTCATTCTAATCCTCAACCTCCCTTATCTTTCTCTTCTGTTGAACCAATAAAAATCCATAGTAAATCAGCACAAAAGCAAAGCCAAAAGGGGAAGTACTGAAAGAGGAAATAAGACCTCTACAACTCACCCCTTCAAGAATGAAATAGGGCATTGCCCGAATCCAAGAAAAAGACAAAAATGTCAAGGATCTTCAGTCAAACAGGCACTCCAGTAGCCTTCTCTCTTCTTCATCGACGTCAGCAGCTACTAGCGCACGTCAATTTCTCTCTTCTCCAACAACGTTAGCAGCTACCAGTGCACGTCAGACTTCTCTCTTCTCCAACGACGTCAGCAGCCACCGGCGCGCGTCAGATTTCTCTCTTCTCCAACGATGTCAGTAGCCACCAGTGCGCGTCACACTTCTCTCTTCTCCAACGACGTGAGCAGCCACCAGCGCATATCAGACTTCTCTCTTCTCAAAGTTTCCAGTTTCCAGCTAGTGTTCAAGCTTCCTCTTGCTTCAGCCAGAGTTCAGCTTGAGGGGGGATGTTAGACAATAATACTAATAGTACTTTTTGTAGTATTGGTTATGGTAGTGTTTCATTATTAGTCAGTTTCCTAATCCTATTTGTGGTAGATGTTGTATGTTAGTTAGTTTCCATTCTCTATTCCTAGTTGTGTTAGGAGTCTCTCCTATATATACTCTATCATGTACTTTATAATTCAAGGAGCAATATTATTATTTCAATATTTCAACAGGAAGTACTTTATTATTAGGTCAATAAAGAAGTAGGACAGTTATTTTGAGACAAATGAAAATGTAAGCGGGGCATATAATTTGGGACGGATATGAGTATACTAGTATTATATACTCCCTCCGTTCAACAAAATTTGTCCCGTTTGAGTTTTTTTGGTTTCCTGTTCAACTCTTTAATCTTTAATATCACTAAAGAAATCTTCCTAGATATGAGTAAAAAAAGTTTGAAAATATCAAAATATGAGTCAAATGTCTTTCAAGATCAAAATGGAAATATAATAGCAGTATAGCATAAGAATATGCGTTTACAATGTGATGAAAAGCTGTTGACAGTATAACATGCCAGTATGACCAGTCAATCGTACGTTGGCGATCTACATCGACATGCACCCTAGTGGCCGGCGCGATGGATGATAGTGTGACGGTGATGGTGTAGCAGTTACATTGTGACATTGCGATGGGTGTGGCAGTGTAACGTTAAGAATGATAGTGTGTACTTCTATTTTGGTTTTAAAAAATTTATGACTTCTATTTTGAAATTAAATTTTCATAGTTTGTTACCCATATTTAGTGAGTTATCACATATCCCTATTTATACATAAATATATATTATAAAAATATTAGAGCAATATTTGTAAAATTACAACAATTCAATGTACTTTTTTATAACTTGCGGTCAACATTTGAAAAATTTGACAAAAAAACAATTGGAATAATTTTTTTTGAACATGTTATACTCAGAGTTTATTATATTCAACTATTCTTATTATTAGATTGGATAAAAATTGCTTTTATTACAATTGCAATCAAATCAAACATGATCAGATTAGAATTTATTTGAATCAAATTTTGTAAAAATAATAAGAGTACAAGACAAATGTATTGGCCACTTTTTTTTTTGTTGTAAAAGTTACGTTTTTTCACGGCACCAAGTGAGAATTAATGTTTTGGTGACACTTACATGTTCGTCCACGTGACCCTTATTTTGATGGGTCAATCGACGATCTAACATTACCAAAATGTACGTTTAAACTACCCTCTCAATTCTCAAATAAAAAGAAAAATTCCAATTCACCGAGTATATGTCATGAGTGTGTCACGCTAAGCAACATGGTTATAATAAATCTTTCATTTTTCAATGATTTCGTAAAATTTCTTCATTATATATTTATATTTGTAAAAGGAAAATCAGGGGAAGGGGTATTTTCTTCAATTCATAAACTTTTCAAAACAGAAAAAAATAAAATATATTGCCCCACAGCATGTAACTAATAATGGAAAGCTAACAGGGCATGTTCAAGGGTGCAAATTAGCAAATCATGCGTCTCAACACCAAAACTTCTCCTCTAGCTTCACTAGAACTCAAGCATGTCCGCTGGATGGGATCATTTTACCATGGCCCATTTTCTTAAAATTGCATGATCTCACACGCTATCAATTTCCTCAAATTTCATTGGGGTTAGAAATTAAAAAAAATCACACTTTAACCTTATAATGCAATTGAGACACACAAGTGTGTACGAAATTTGAGTGTGACTCGATCCACATAGCTTCTCCCTAATCTCTATCATGAGACCGTTGATGCGCAGAGGAGAGACGAAAAAAATGCCTTAGCCCAAAAGAGGTGGGAATATATTGAATGGAGATGAAAATGTAGGTACGTATATTACTACGTAATGAAAAATGATGAACTTGAGGGACTCTATAAACCACGGTTATGAGTGATAAATGATAATCGATCACTAAGGTGGAAAATAATAAAGAGTGGAGGACGGACTTAAACCAAAAAGCAGAAAAGAATCAATGATGGGGATTATGGAGAATATAATACGGAGTACATTGCTTCTTAGAAAAGATAGATTAAATGAGAGTAGAGTATAGGACATAGGTATGTAGTAATTAAAGGAGCCCTTAATTCTTGTTCCTAAAAAAACTCTTTATTTCATCATTAACCATTATTAAACCGTGGTTAATTTTACACATATGCCCCACCACTCCACTACAAAATAAGGTGCGAATCTGTATTTTTTTTAAATTTCTTTGCATGTGAAATCAATTCAAGACGACTGCCATTTTTAATTTTTAATTTCTAGCTTTAAGGTGAAATCCATTTCACCAATTTCCGAAGAACTATATATGTACACAAAAGGTACCCATCCTAAAAATTCGTAAAAACTGCATATAACTCAAAACAAGCATTATTGTTTAGGTAAAAGCATATTTAATTCAACCCAAAACAATTACGGAGTATTACGTAACTAAATTAAATTAACAGAGGGTTAGACTATCGATCACCGCAGGTAGCACAATAATGTAAAAACTAAGGTTACTTTCAAGAGGAGTTACCACGGTGAGGTAATTCCATTGACAATGCTCTAATGTATCGTTTGTGTGGCGCCACTTACAAACAGTTTGCTGCCTTTGGATGCCTTCATCCTTAGTTTCTCGCAAATATGACTAGTCGATCTCCACAACCTGTGGCGCCGCTTTGAAAACCCGGCGCAATTTCGGTGCGGCCACCCACTGCAACGGTCTCCCGCGGCGCAATTCTAGTTTTTTCTAATTTTTCAACCCTTTAGCTCCTTCTTCCTTTGCCACGATCCATTTTTTTAGATCTTTTTTAATTATGTATTCAATTTTTTGCTTTTTTTTAAATTTTAATTTGGATAATTAATATTTAATTTTAAAATTTTTATTTATTTTTGTTAATTTTGAATTTATTACTTATATTTATTATTATTATTACTCCCTCCGTCCCGGAGTATTCGACCAGTTTTGACTTTTGAAACTGTTCATCTAAACACTCTGACTCATTAAATTTTCTCAATGTGTAAGCCAGAATATAGTCACGTGTGATCTTGTTTGATTTGTCTTAACATATAGATTATTAATATATAATTTCTATAATTTTTTAATATACAAATTATAAGATAAAATGGATTAAAGAAATGTATTGGATGGTGTGTAAAAATGAAAGTTGACAAATAATACTCTGGGACGGATGTAGTATTTACCTATTTTTATTTATAAATAAATATTTATATTAAATTTATATAAGCTTTTGAATTAAAAATGATGAATACTGGAAAAAAACAGAAAGACGGGTTTTTAGTGCGATAGAATTACATGATTTTGGGGTGGAGCGGATTTGCTTCCCATTGTAAATACTCAAAAATAGTTCAACTTTATATTAAAAATTCACTTTTACCCCTAGTTTTCTGTCTTACCTTACTTATCACATCATCTTTTTGTATTAATAATTTACTTATCACATCTTACTTTTACCCACCACATCTCGATAAAATTAAAAAATCAATTCAAAATGATTTTTCTTTATTTTTGCCCAAATTAATTCAATACAGAAAGTATTTATTGGAACGAAATGAGTAGCATGAAGAAGTTGGTCTCTCAGTCATGCACAACATGACTAGTCATTTCCTCGCTATGGTCTATCAGTTCATTTCTTTAGCATCATGTTAAGTAAACAAAGGTTTCTTTTAATGTAAACAAAATTAACCATGGACAGATCCATGTTGAGCTAATTGGGTGGCAAATCCATATGAATTTTTTTGATTTTTATCATTATAAAAATCTTAAAAATAACTTAGTTTTAAAGAAGTGCCAGATGTATTCATTTTCAAATACTGAATAAACTTTAACACTCGGAGATCTTGAAAAAAAAGAATGAATCTTATCTTTGAGGGCCCCACAAAAGTGAGAACCAATTGAATAGCTTATCTATGCTCGCTCACTTATTGAAAACACTTCTGTCCAAATTTTTACACACGCATTAAAATACTTTTATTCTATCTAAAATGTTTAAAATATTTCAAAAACAATTTCTACGTGTTATAATCATATAAGAAAATGTGTTTTAGATATTTTAGTTAGGAGTAAAAGTATATTTATGTGAGATTGATTCTGTAGTACACATATACTCCGCCGGGTAATATATATATACACACACGCCAATAACAACGTACTTGTCATTAAACCGCAGCTCCTACTTACGGCGTTTCCTGGTGATTATATCTATCATTGAGAGGGCCGCCGGACACTCTGCTGATCCATTCCAGTCGATATATCAGAGCCGGCCAGAGACTCATCATCATCGTACGTAGTTCATTTATATGATGGCGGCCGCGGATTCCGGCAAAACCTCCGCCTTGTACGTCGATCGGCGGCTGGAAAACGGAGATGCCGGTGGTCTGAAGAAGAACGTGGACGACGACGGAAGAGAGAAAAGAACCGGTAGATGGATAGATCGAATCTACTTCCTTTTAATTTAACTCATTACTATATTTTGGTTTAATTGGATTATCGACTAACGAATTGAATGAAAAAAGGGAGTTTGGTGACGGCGAGCGCGCACATCATAACGGCGGTGATAGGGTCGGGGGTGCTGTCTCTGGGATGGGCCATAGCTCAGCTGGGATGGGTGGTGGGTCCCTCCGTCCTCGTCGCCTTCTCCGTCATCACTTACTTCACCTCCACTCTCCTCGCCGACTGCTACCGCTCTCCCGGTCCCGACAACGGCCGCCGCAACTACACCTACACCGACGTCGTCCGTTCTCATTTGGGTACCTCCGTTTCTTTTTTTTTTTTTTTTTTTTTTGGATTTGCTGTCCTAATTCAGAAAAAGAATAATTGTCTTTTCTGGTAAAAAAAATAAATGAAGATTTTTTTTTTTTTGTAAATTTTTCTCATATATTGAGGATAAATAATAAATATGGTGGGTTGAAGGATGATTTAATTTAGTGTAATTAATGGTTGCAGGAGGGTTGAAGGTTACACTGTGTGGGCTAGCTCAATATACTAATCTGGTCGGAGTTACGGTCGGATACACCATTACTGCTTCCATTAGCATGGTGTAAGCATTCATATACTCCGTATCATTCAATTAAGACAATCAATGATCCCATTTACTCCCACTCTATTTCACCTCATTTTTCTTAAAATCGTCTATTCTTATTTTTACGAAATTAAAAGTAAAAGTAAAACAAATTATTTTCTACTCTGGTTAGAAACTCATCAAGTCTACTATCACGTCATATTTATTCATTATTAATCTATACATTGCATTTTATTTTATTCACCACACACAAAGAAATTTTTGAGAATAGTTTATTAAAATACTTTATACTATAATTAAATTTCTTAAAAATTAATACAAGAATAGTTTGTTAATAGTGAAATTTGCACTATATAGGACTAAAACATAATGACTTTTCTAATGTAGGACTTAAACTTTTTTATTCCTTAAATAGGACTTATTAATGACCTAGTGGAAAGAATAATGTCCAATAACGATGGACATTTAGTTGAATAATGACTACTTGATAATGACCAAAGGTCCTACATTGAAAAAAAACATATGGTCCTATATTGAAAAAATCATTATGTTTTAGTCCTATTTAGGTAAATTTCTCTTGTTAATATTCGTATGTCTCTATTTTATCAATAATTATACAGAGTAGTATTTTTTTTACTAAATACATTATGAATAAATATAGGGGGATCGAATCCCTTTTGGAGGAGAGCGAGTGACAAATTACACTTGATACGGCTTTATGTGTTCGGCCCCTAATACACAAGATTCCATTTTTTTATTTTGACAGTATCACTTTACCTCCACCGTCCACCCACCCGCACTTTATTAATAAAAATATTAATTGTCAAGGAGTACACGTTTCAATTCCTACATAATTCGATCTAATTTATTTAAAAGTCGCCCCCTTTAAGACTTTTTTATTGCCATGGAGGAAGAATATGAATATTGTTGTTCTAATTTATTTACTCTCTTCCTCTAAGAACAAACTTCCCACTTATTATTATCGAATGTCGATAATTCATGTTTGTAAATTTTTATTTTTCATTCGATAAGATAAATCATTCTTATAAAATCTTATTTTATAGGACTTTTGATTTAATTATAAACAATGTAATTTATACTTTTTTTTATGATATATCAATTTGTAAATAAATTATTCCGTAATTCATAAAAAGTAAAGTTTTGCATGTCATTCAAAAGGAGAAATTTCTTGTTAGAGGGAGGGAGTACATTTTACATATTTCCAATGATTATTGGATATAGCGAAGGGGAGGGGGGAGTAAAGATAGGGGTGTAAACGGATATTAATCGGATCGGATGTGCCATTACCAAATCCGCATCCGTTTATTTTTGTCGGATATCGAATTCGGATACGGATCTTGACGGATACTGAAAATCAAAACCGTATCCGCATCCGTCGGATATCGGTCGGATATCGGATATATCCGTATCCGTTTCCAATTTTTAAAATCAACTTAAAAAATACTTTATTTTTAAAATTAGATTAAAGTCAAGCTATTATTAAATCAACTATAATTTGTTATGAGATGATTATTTTCTTTGTTTTCATGATTTCTGATATTCTACGATAACTTTATATGATAAAAAGATATACACAACACATATATACACATATTTTTATATGTCTGTATATATTTTTATGTGTACACATTTATTTTGTATTTAGAAATGTCTTATATTTTTAAATATCAATAGAGAAAAAAAATATAAAAATAAAAAATTAGAAAAAACTATATATAACGGATCGGATATTCGGATAAACGGTTATTTAAACGGATGCATATGCGGATCGGATTTTAAACGGATCGGATATACAATTACCAAATCCGTATCCGTTTAGTAATCGGATATCCTTAATCGGATACGGATAATATCCGTTTAAAATGGATGCGGATATTTCCTCTTTAAACGGATACGGATGCGGACGGTAATCGGATTTTCGGCTATCCGTTTACAGCCCTAAGTAAAGAGTAGTAATGAGAGTGGCGACAAAATTGACTGGGAGGGACATAAGTGTGTGTATTTATGATGATAATAAATGTTAGCAACAATTATACTCGACCCGTGATTAATTAATGGAAAAATTACCCCAAATAATCCCAACTTTATCCGGTCTTTCAAAAGTAATCCCACTTTTCACAGTGATGCATAATAATCCCAAGTTTACTAAAATTTGCGAGTTTTGGGTCGCCGTTAAGTTTCTAACGGAAGGTTAACGGAAATGCCTGTTTTCGACAACAAAATGAAAGTTGAAATTATTTTTGATGAATTTTTGTTTTTTAATTTTTTTGAAATTTTTATTTAAATTTTTGGAATTACTTTCAACATCCATTTGAGGTAGAAAGTAATTTTAAAAATTTAAATGAAAAATTCAAAAAAATAAAAAAAATGAAAATTCATCAAAAATAATCCCAAGTTTCATTTTGTTACCCAAAACAGGCCTTTCCGTTAACCCTCTGTTATGCATCACACTAAAAGGTGGGATTATTTTTCAAATATCGAGCAAAGTTGAGAATATTTTGAATAATTTTTCCTTAATTAATTAATTAGTTAACAGGGCGGTGAAGAAGTCAAACTGTTATCACAAGGAGGGGCACGGGGCGGATTGCAGCGTGTCGAACTACCCGTACATGATGATATTCGCCGCCGTCCAGATCCTTCTAAGTCAAATCCCCAATTTCCACAAGCTCTCGTGGCTCTCCATTCTCGCCGCTGTCATGTCCTTCGCCTATTCCTCCATTGGCCTCGCCCTCTCCGTCGCCAGAATCATCGGTGCGTTTAATTCTCTCACATGTCTTCATTCATTACACTTTCATAAAATCCGGAGTTAATTCGGAACCTCCAACATACTTCCGGCCTGCTTCCAAAAATTATTTCTGGTTTTTCACATGATCAAATTTTATTTACTTTGTTAGCATATTTTCGTTATCCACTTGATGAAATATTATAGTCATATCATCCGTCACCTTTGGTATTGTAGATCTTTTGATATGTACTTAATTTTTTATTTCACGTATTTTCATATAAAATCATTTGAAAATGGTTTCAATCAAACATCATAACGCGCAACAAGAAAGATAATTTTAGACGGATGGAATATAAATCTTCTTCTTGGTCTTTTATCTGATTTAAGGAAAAATATATTTCGTGTTGACTTTCCCAAATTATCAATGAGGCAATTAGGAGATTATTTAGTTAAAAAAATACTTCATCCGTCCCTGAGTGTTTGTCCACTTTCATTTTTGCACACCATCCAATGCACTTCTTTGATCTATTTTATCTTGTAATTTGTATATTAAAAAATTATAAAAATTACTCCCTTCGTCCCTCATAGATCTTTCCATTAGCCTTTTTTATTTGTCCCACATAGATCTTTTCATTACCTTTTTTTAACCTTTAAAATACCACAACTACCCCCACTTACTTTATTTATTACACCTTTTCCACCTTATTTAATACACCCCACCTATTTTCATTAAGGGTACTTTGGTAAACTTTAACCTTTTTTCAACTCTCCTTAAAAACCACCAAAAGTCAAAATGAGAAGATCTTAGGGGGACGGAGGGAATATATATTAATAATTTATATGTTAAGACGAATCAAACAAAATCACACATGACTATTTTTAGGCTTACACATTGAGAGAATTTGATGAGTCAAAGTGTTTAGATGAACAGTTACAAAAGTCAAAAGTGGACAAACACTCAGGGACGGACCAAGTATGATATGATAGCCAAAGTAAAAAATTAGTAAGAATAAAATTCTTTTTTAAAAGATAGGAGAATGAGATTTTGGGCCAAAAAAGGAAAGAAGAAAGCCTTTTAGATACAAAGAGAGTATTTTGTTTTTTTTTGCAGCGACACAAATAATTTTTTTTTTAGTGTTGTTGATTCTATTAGAGATAGTATGTGCTTTACAATAAAACTAGTTTTTACCCCGTGCTTCGCACGGGCTCGCATATTTCTCTATAAAATATATTTATATGTTAACATAGATATTTTAAGTTAACATTTTGGATGTTTGTTAAAAGTTTAATTCATATATGAACATAATATGAATTAAAATTTAATTTTATTTATTTTAATGTTTTAATAATAATATGATATGCATTAATAAAATAAATAATGTAATAAGATAATTTTTTTGGAACAAATCGATTAATTAATAAATATGCATATGTGATTAAATTTACATAATCATTTTTTAAAAAGTATTGAACTAAAATAAGTTGTGGATAGTATAAAAATAATATATATATATATATATATATATATATATATTATAGAGTATATTTTACAATGATGAAATATATAAATATAGAATTATTAAAAAATGAAAAAGTTTTATGCAAATGTATTCAAAGATCTTTTAAAAAAATTAAAATGGACCAATGAATTGAAATGCATAAATCCACATCATTAGTGAGTGCACATGTGGATGCACATGTGGCATGTCACATGTCAACACTACAACAATTGAACTCTCTTTTACATATATATATATAGGATACCCAGAGTATTTATTTAGAGACAAGGAAAATAGTGTGATTTTACTTTGTCCCAAAACTATATTCAACCATAGTGTAATTTAAATTAAGTTGGTGATGAAATTTGAAGGGAACCATATGAACCACCACGAGGTAAAGACGAGCATAACAGGAGTGACGGTGGGGGTGGATGTGACGGGGGCGGAGAAAGTGTGGAGAAGCTTCCAAGCCATCGGCGATATTGCCTTTGCGTACGCCTACTCCACCGTCCTAATTGAGATTCAGGTATTCTATCATTCCTTTATATACTCCCTCTGTCTCTGAAAATTTTTATCATTTCTTTTTTCATTTATGTCAAAAACATTTCTCTTTTTTATTAAAAAAATTATTTTTTATTCTTACTAATTTTTAACCTACGTATCACATCAAATCTATTAATTATTAAACTAGCTCTCCTATTCTACTTTTCCTCGTCACATCCAAAAATAATTTTAGAAACCTAACACCAAAATACACTACCTTTAAAAGCTTTAAAAATCAAAATTTTCCATATTTTCAAAGTATGATGAAGTATTGTTTTACTGTTATTTACAGATTAATAATGTAACAACGACCTTTTAATTTATCCATTAAAAATGGCCATGTGGTCTTTTTTTGTGGCTTTAATTTAAAGATTACAGAAGAGGGAGGGGTAAAAGTGTTTGGCTATAAATATTTCCATAATTTCAAAAAAGAAGCAAGAAAACGTGCGATTGAGGATGGACCATTTGTAGAGTGAGTGGGCGGACCACTTATGGGCCAATTCGTACTAGATGTGAAAGCCCACTGCTTCTATTATGATCACCAATAATCCATTTTCATACAAAAACATCACATCACAAGGAATATATGGCCCGGCCCCTATTCGGAATTTTGAAACTTTATGAACTAGGGGGAATATTTTGGCAAAATTGTTCCTCACATTTGATTGTTTGAACAAAAAAAATAATCCCAAGATGTCACGAGTATAATAATTAATAATGTCACGTCGAATAAATATTTACCTATGGAGAATATTGATGGTTTCAGGATACGCTGAGATCCCACCCACCAGAGAACAAGGTGATGAAGAAAGCATCCTTGATAGGAGTGACGACCACCACCGTGTTCTACATTTTGTGTGGCTCCATGGGATATGCCGCATTTGGAAACAAAGCCCCAGGCAACTTCCTCACAGGGTTTGGCTTCTATGAGCCCTTTTGGTTGGTTGACTTCGCCAACGTCTGTATTGCCATTCATCTCGTTGGAGCTTACCAGGCAAGCAAGCAATCAAATACTAATGTTAATTGAAAGTGTTTGTTCCCGAATAGACCCTAAAAACTTCTTAAGATTTTGACCGAATTGTTGAAATAATTTGTCACGCGCAGGTTTTTTGCCAGCCGATATTCAACGTTGTGGAATCAAAATGCAACAAAAAATGGAAAGATAGCAGATTCGTGACGGTTGATCACGAGGTTAGAATCCCCTTCTTGGGAGCTTACACCATAAACATGTTCAGGTTGGTGTGGAGAACCACATATGTGATCGTCACGGCATTGATAGCCATGATATTCCCCTTTTTCAATGACTTTTTGGGCTTGATCGGAGCAGTGTCCTTCTATCCCTTGACCGTTTTCTTCCCCATTGAGATGCACATCGCGCAGGCAAAGATACCAAAGTATTCCTTCACATGGATATGGCTGAAGATACTGAGTTGGACTTGTTTGATCGTCTCCCTCGTTGCTGCAGCTGGTTCCATCCAGGGCCTGGCTTCTGATGTCAAGACCTACAAACCTTTCAAAGCTCAATAATGATTGTTAATGAAATGTTTCACCCATCAATCCCAAATGTGGAATGCATATACATATGTGCCATGTTTTCAATAAAACTACATGCATGCAAATATCCTGCAATTTCTGCTTGTGGAAATGGTTTGTGCAAGAAGATGCTTATAAAAGCCACTAAACCAATTCAAGAGGTAGAAAATACATTCTTTTTTTAATAGGTTCTCAAGTTAGTTGTTGCTTCAATTCATGTACCCCCAACATGATGACTTTTAAAATGTTTCCAGTTCCATTTCCATGGCAAGAGATATGGTAGATTCTCTTTGTTAGAATTGCACTTCCATGATGATTCTGAATTTGAAATTACAAAAGCATGCCATATACTCCGTAGTATTTAAGATCTCAATTTCTTGGTGATTTTGAACTTGGCCAAAGAACAAACATAGAATGTGTAAATACTCCGGTAATAAATCTCGATTTTGAATTATACACTAATATTTGAATAGATTTAATTAAAAAATCAATCCAGTTCATTCTCATTGGACACATTTTAAGGGACAAGAGAATAGAAAAACAAAAAGATTAAGGAAAAAATAAAGTAAAAAACAAATAAAATAAGAGAACAATTACTAAAGGAAGATCAATTGCCTGCCTCGATTGATGAAGAAAACATGGGATCGGAGTCGGGACAAGAATCGCGAGATCCCTAAGGATTGAACACAGTGCCGTCGCTGATAAGCTCTGTCTTTTCTGATCGGCCAATATAAAACCTACGGTAAGAAACTATCTCGAAATTTAATTATGAGTAAATTCCATAATTGGTCCTTTATAATAGGGGGGTTTCCATATTTAGTCCTCTATTATCAAATATTACCCATGTAATCCTTTTTTTAAGGGTACCTTTCCACAAATGGTCCTTTTTTTGATCTTCTGCCGTGTTTGTGTTAATTTAAAAACTAAAAGTATAGTTTGACGTCAACATTATGTCTAGTAACATGTTCTGATATTGGTTAAGCGGATAACACAAAAATAGTGTATGACAAAAAAGATATATTGTCATTGTGAAATTACACTTTTAGCCTTCAAATTAACATCAACATGATAGAAGATCAACAAAAGGACTATTTGTGGAAAGGTTCCCATATAAGAAGGACCACGTGGGTAATATTTGATAATAGAGGACTAAATAGGGAAACACCCCTGTTATAAAGGACCAATTATAGAATTTACTCTTTAATTATTAAGCTCATTATGCCCTTCTTGTTTCCGTCTTCACGGTGAAATTGACATGGGTGGAGGAGGGACAAGGCTGGGGTTTACTAGGTTAGAGAGGGAATCATCAATTTAACGAATGGAGCATCAAGAGTGGTTATTGCTTGGCCACTCAAAATGAGTGGCCATTGAACCTAGCTATATATATATATATATATATATATATATATATATATATATATATATATATATATATATATATATATATATATATATATATATATATATATATATATATATATATATATATATATATATATATATATATATATATATATATATATATATATATATATATATATATATATATTACATATATAAATTGTTTTATACTTCATCCGTCCCAAAAAGTTTGTTACGTTTAGAAAAAACTGCGTCCCTTAAAGTCCGTTACATTTCTATTAAAAAACCACTTTTACCCATTATTTTTTCATACCCTACCTATCACATCATACCTTTTTTCTAATAATCTACCCATCACATCCTACTTTACCCATCACATCAAAGGTATTTTTGGAAAGTCAATACCAAAATATCTCTCCCTTAATTTCCCAAAAAGTCAAACCGTCCCATTCTTTTTGGGACGGAAGGAGTATTATATTGCAGAACATATTACGGAGTATATTTTATAAATTTTTAGTGAAATTTTGCACTAAATAGTACTTCCTTCGTCCTAAAACTATATTCCTAGTTATTATTCACACGGTCAAACTTAAATCACTTTCTTTAACTATATTCCTATTTTCGTTACTGTATTCCTATTTTCGTTAGTTTTGTCACCTCTTGTTTTGTAGAATTTTTTACGTAGTTTTTAAATAAATAAATTTCATTTTTTTAATTTTACACCTACAATCAAATAAATTGAATTGAAAATAAAGTCGGTCAAACATCGTAAACACAAATGGGAAAATGATTTTAGGACGGATGGAGTACTAAAACATATGTCTTTTTTCAATATACTACTTAAACTTTTTTATTCCTTAAATAGTACTTGAATAATGCCTAGAGACGAGAACAATGTCCAATGATGGTGGACATTTAGTTCGAACAATGTCTAGTGGTGCTGTACATTTAATTTATTTAAACAATGACTAGTGGATATTGAACAATGTACTACATTGGGAAATAAAAAAAAATATGATAGTACATTGCGAAAATGGCTATGTTTTAGCAATATTTAGTTAAATTTCCGAAATTTTAATTCATGTTATATAAATTATATTATATTCAACAAATCATATACATAAAATTAAATTTTTAAATATAACAACATCTACAACAACTATTTAAAAGGAGCTAAGTTTGCCAAACATTTTTTTTGTGAACAGCTAATGCAATCGATAGGTCAAAATAGCTAGCGCCACCAGCCATTTAAACTAGTCAACACAAACAGCTAACAGTCAATAGCCAATCGCCAACTTTCAAAGAGGGCCTATGACTATTTTTTATGCCTCAATTAATTGTTAGTGGGCCACCTCCTCTCTTTATTTTTTTATATTACTTCATCTGAAAACTATTCAAATGATCAACTTTTATTCACCTTCTTTTATTTATTTTTACTATTTACTCTGTATTTAATTATATAAAATGGTCATATCCAGATTCTCAGCTTTTATTTTGAAAAATTTTAATGTACGATAGTTATAAAATACTTGTATATATATTTTATTTTTGGAAATTATTTTCCTCTATAATCAAATAATTTGAATTAAATATAAAATCGATCAATTTTCATAAACAAGAATGAGAAATTTAATTCCATTGGAGTACATAATATGATATCTATTAAATGTAACACAAAGAGTCAATGCTCAGTTCGGATCTATAATCTTTTATTTGAAATAACCGCAATTATATTGTTTGATCACGAGATCTTTGGTTATTTTTAAAATGAAGAAACACTCTTTCACCAAATGATAACATTGGATCTTTAGGCCAATTATCTTTCAAAACTTTCATGGTGACTTTCAAATCCATTTCAGGCCTTTTCTATAACATATCTCCGCTGTTGTTGAGCCCATGAACGGACTGCTTTACGGGCTTTTGTTACTCCATCCGTCCTATATCTTTCTTCCCGTTGCGCAAAACGAAGAAAAATTTCATGTTTTTTCAATCTATTTTATTTAAATATTGGTATAGATATAAAAAATAAAATATACATATTTAAAAACTACATCAAAAGTTCAACAAAACAAGTGGTGATAAGAATATTTTATTTTATCATATAGGCCATGAAAAAACACAAATAAATATAAATTTCCGTGAAGTTGGAATAGTACTCTGGGAAAAGAGTTTTAGGACGGAGGGAGTACTTGTTGGCTCCAACTCGTGACTAAGATTGTTGTATAGTCAACACAAAGGATTTTGGAGAGTCATTTTTTGTCATAATTTTGACAAGATTTTTTTTCGAGAAGCTTCTTGACAAGAACTTGAAGTTAGATAATTTGAACCTAAAACTTATAGAGTTTAGCAAGTGGAATATCTAAAAATTAGAATTATAAACCATCCTAAATAGAACTAAAACATAGAAAAAAAATTTTAAAATAGGAGTTCTTTATTTTTATTTATTAAATATGAGTTCACATTGTGATAATGTAGCATTGTACATGATCATGATTGGTAATGTAAATGCATTTTAACTCCTATTTCGGAAATAAAAACATGGAACTCCTATTTTGGTATATTTTCAATGTTTTACTTCTACTTTAATCTTTTTTCCCAATTCAGTTGGATCTCATGATTGTAAAGTCTAGAGAAGATGTATGTATGTAGACCTTGCCTTTACTCGAAAGTAGTAAAGTTATTTTCAAAAGACTATGACTCATGCAACATTAATAATAAAAAAGGAAAAAGACTAAAATAGAAGTATAATACTGAAAATATATTAAAATATGATATCCATGTGTTTATTCTTGAAATATGAGTTCAAATTCATTTGTATTACCAATAATGTAGATTACAAAAAAATATAGTAAAATGCCTATGTACAGTGCTACATTACCACAGTGCGAACTCCTATTTAAAGAATAAAAATATGGAATTAATATTTTGGTCCATTCTCGATATTTTACTCATATTTAAGGTGATTTCTAATTGGATTGTTGTTGTTCTATTTATGGTTAAGGAAAGGGTATAATGCCACTGAAGAGACTATTAACACATCAGTTAACAAGTATATGAACCTTGTAGTAACTAAAAATAATTTAGGAATCTATGAAACATTTTAAAAAAAATCTATTAAATTTTTAAAATAATTTAAAGACTTAGAAAACACATTCAAAAAATATAAATATCTTATAAGCATTCATCTTTAAAGAAACAACAAATACGGAGTATCAAACTAGCATTAGGCATGTAGGGAGATTTTTTAGGCGGTAGGGAGTATATATGTATAGAGGGAAAAATAATTCTTTGTACCAAAAAAAAGTATTTTCTTACTTTTTTCGTTGCACCCAGCGGCGGATCTAGAAATTTAGATAGATGGGGCGGTATTCGTCAGGAGTCCGGGGGCAGCGCCCTCGAATTTTTTTAATAGACTATATGAATTGACAAAAAATATTAAATTTTTTTTCAAACATTTATTGAATGTAAAATATTTATTTATAGGTAATGTAACATTTTATTGTATAATTAATTAATTATGTGCAATAAAATACACATTACTAAAAAATTGAACGAAAAAAATTAAATTTAACCTAATTAGATGGGGTCAAATTTAATTTTTTTGGAGCATAAATACATAAAATTTCCAAAAAAATATTTTTTTTACCTTATTACAAAAAACTAGTAGGGGGAATCTGCCCCAACAACATCAATGTGCATCCGCCCCTGGTTGCACCCAAGAAATATCGAAGCGGTTCATCTTGTCTAATTGCTCGATCAGTCGTTAAAATTAGGAAGACTATTTTAAGAACATTTTTTTATTAATGCATGTTTTGTATAAAATTTTAATGTCGATAAGTTTTAAAAATGCCAAATTTAAAATGATATCATAAAACACTCTTTTTTGTTTTTAAAATATTAACTCTAAACTTTGATAATGTGGCCAAGCAGACTCTAAATCATTATTATGTTAATAAAATCGGACTGTAAAATATTTTATATTATTTGATAAAATAAAATAATTATATATGTTTTTAGTTATTTAATAAAATTTATAACTATATCTCTTTTATATTTTTTCAATATATATATATATATATATATATATATATATATATATATATATATATATATATATATAGACACACACACATACATACTCAGTAATATTTTTTTTAAATCAATTTTTAATAGTCCGTATGGAAGAATTTACCCAAGCAAACTAGGGACAGGAGGAATAGGCAAATGCTTGTTCCCCAAGTAAAAAGAACTCGCATTTCACGACGAAATTACTCGAATGCCCTCACAATGTCGTCATTGTTAGCCGATAATATCGACCAATGGGCAGACCCATATTTGTCAGTCCACTTACGGGGATCTACAGTATAAATTTGGAGGCGGCAATTTGCCTTCCCTTTCCAGAAGTTCTCGAGACTTTGAGAATCTCAATTTTCAGTCAGTTCTCACGCAGCAGAGAGCTTCTCATCCATCTTCTTCTTCTGTACATATAAATCTTAGGGTTTCCTTTGATTCCTATAACCCTAATTCAGCTAGCTATGGGTTCGGATTCGAAGAGGTTGAGAGTGATGACCACGAAAACAATGGTGTCTGGCAAGGAGAAGATCGGAGCGGTTTCGCGCGTTGTAGATAACAATAAGATTGCCGTCACTGTTCCGGTTCCTGCGCCTAGAAATCCCATAGGGTTGACCTCTGCACCGGCTCCGGTCTGCTGCCACCGGCGGCTTTTGTTTCAGAATTACTTGAACTTCAAGCGGAGCTGCGAGCCGGCCCGGTTCATGCGGTACGAGAACGGCTCGTGGGTGGATACCGAGACCGGCGTGTTGGAGGCGGTGAAATCGGGGTTCGTGAGAGGCATTTCGGTTGTCGAGGCTGAAATTGGAGTCTCCAAGTGTCTTTTCGACTTGCACCGGATGATAGAAATCGATCTGGGTACCGGGAATTTCCGATCAATTGCGTGGATTGATGTGAAAGGTGCGTGTTTTTTCCCGAAATCATCTGTGAGCTGCTATAATTGTGAAAAGGATTCGGTTGATTTAGATGAGAACTCCAGTGAGAGCCGGAATTGGGTTTGTCCAAAACTTGAAATTGCGATTGAAATTACTGGAAATTTCCTGAAGTCGGCTAAGAATTCCAATGATAACGAGGTGGGATCAAACAAGCGAAAGAGGGAGAGCAATGAACCTGAGATGGAGGACACGTTTGAGGGAAGTTCGTCCAACTTTCAGGCGAAAGGGGAACATGTGGAAGAGAGTGAATTTGTTTCTCCCAGGTGGCCGAAAACAAGGATGCTGGGGGAGCAGGAGAAAGGGCATCAGATTGTGAGGAATTTGTTTGCCCAAGGTTTGGCAGTTGTGGAACCAGGTGCTGCAATCACTGCCATCCATCGTGTTCTAAGAGGTCCATTGGAGAAAGATCAATGTGATGCCTTCTATAGGGAGGCAGATCTTGTGAGAGAGGCTAGGGGGAACCCTAATGTGGTTTTGGCTTGGTTTGGGACTACAACAGAGGGTGTGGAGAGAATCATGAGTCATGGGATTGGAGCACATGGAACAGGGACCCTAGGTGTTGCTTTATACCTGTCACCCGCTCGATCACCTAGAATGAGGTATCTCATTTCATCTTTGTATATTTATGTTTTGAATATTTGGTGGCTTTATGTTGGATCTTGGGATGTACATATTTCAATATTTTTCTATATGGTTCTGTTTAGTGCAATGATGGCTCAAGTAGATGAAAATGGTGAAAAACATATAATTTTGTGTCGAGTTATATTGGGGAAATGTGAGAAGATAGAGGCAGGGTCTTTGCACTGGAGCCACTCAAGAATTGATTTTGATACGGGCGTGGACGATCTGAAAGAGCCACAATGGTACGGTGTGTTTAGCGCCAATGCGAACACCCGCGTTATACCGGAGTTTGTTCTTAGCTACAGACCTGCTAAGGGTGTTCCAGGTAAGTTCTTTCTTTCCCTGTATGTGCTTCCATTGAATATTAGTAAGCATTATTAGATGTTTATAAAAACAATGTTTAATTTTTTTATCTGTTAGGTCTTAGTTAAGTAATCAAAGGATAAGTGGACTCAAAAGTCAATTAGGCTTCTGTTTTACATTATGACTTGAATTTCTCTTCAAATACCCACCCATAAGAATTAAGAAGGGAAGTCTTTTGGAAATGGGCAGGTAGTTACTAGTCTTTGGCAATGGGATGGAAATTGTTAAGCAATGTCTTGAACGATGCTAGGAAAGTCCATCCTAGACCACTATAAATACTAGTGTTTGCTGCTTTTGAAAACACACTAAGAGTGGACGGAAGAATACAAAAACACAAAAGACACTATAGGTAGGATTTTGTTAGCGTGCTTATGAGTGAGTGTGTAAAGTAACTGTCTTTTGTTACTTGGGAAAAACACATCGGGGTAATGATGTGGGAAAACACCTTATACACGTGATGTTTATCTGATGTCTTGAAATAATATAAAATAGTTTTCTTTCCAATTTTTTGTGCTGTCGCGTTCTTGATTTTTCGAGCTATACATGCTTATATCTCACAATGTTGGTATTAAATCAAGGTTGCACAGAGAGGGAGGTGTTCGTAAGTGGTAGAATGGTGAAGTCAAGAAAAGAACATGGAACATGGAAGATGGCATAAGTGAAAGATGTAAATATTTTCATCGAACCATTCAATGGGCATTACAATTTTAATGTGGCAACACCAACTAGAAAGTGTTTTACCTTGGGAAGGATAATCAAGGTCTCGGAGGTGAAGACTTTTCTGCCTCTTCTGGAACGACAAGTAGGAATAGCTGGTGGATGAAGAATGTGAAGACTTGAAGAATTTGAAGAATATGAAGAATTTGAAGATTTGAAGAATGTGAACAATGTGAAGATCACAACTAGCCTTTTTCCTTGCAAATAATAATCTTCAGGAGGTTCTTTACCAAACAGATTTGATAGATACCCGTAGAAGTTGGAAAGCCAATACAAGTCAAAGTCATTGACAAGTAGGGTTTGATTAAATGTCGCAGAAGGTGCAAACTTTAATGGACAACCAAAAAAGGGGGAAAATGACTACAAGTACCTCAAGTGAGTGACATTTGTTTTTTTGGTTAGATGGGACGGTGACCTCCCTGACATTGGTTTCTTAGTCAAGGTTGAGATTGTTAGGCCTTAGTGATTAGGAAATTGAAGAATATGTGGGGTCAAAAGTCAAATAGATTCGGTGCTAAATTATGCCTTGGATTATTATACACATACCCATTGTGTGGGTTATACCCAGCCTGACCTGCCCGATAATGTGGCTCATGATTAGTCATTTGTCAATCACACAATGTTAAACTGGTCTTTTGGACCAACCTTGACGGCTTGCGAGACCATAGTCGTGTGCTTGACATGTGCAAATTACTCTTGCGCTACCTGACAATTTGAAAACCTATGGGTAGATGTAGGCTAAGTGGGACATTGCCACTGTAGTCGATGAGCCACTTGCCTGCAATCATGGTTATGCTATTGTAACAAACGATTAACAAAAATAAGTAAAGAAAGAAGAAAAAGTTTCACATAGGAATAGTCAAGTGAGATGGTTAATTCAGGATGAAAGGAGTATGAACTAATAAACCCCACTAAGAGTATGGAAGAGGGTCATTCTGATAGCTACTGTGGTATATTCATTGCATCACTTTTAGATCCTGGTTGTTCCCACTTAGGACTCCTTGCATCCATTATCTGATTTCTGGACCCAGTTTGTTATTTATTTTGTTTATCTTTTTTAGCTCTGTTCAGCTCAATCTTGAATAATAGAGCGATCCTCTGGTGAATACACACCATCACTGCCCATAAAAATGGGAAGAAATGCTTCCTGGAAAAGGGTTGGTACCTACTAAGAAATACGGTGTAAGAATGAATGTTTTGTAGTAGTAGGATAGAAGTTTCTAGGAAATGACAAGCAAAGTTCTTGGCAATGTCTTGGAACTTCCTAGGAAAGAGTCACTCAGAGACAACATTAAATGCTAAATACTAGTTCATGTTGCTCTATTGGAGACACACTAAGAGTTAAGAAAAGACCCACAAGTATAACGATAAGGATTTTGTTAGTGCTGGTGTGGATGAGTTTTGGAAGTCATATATCTTCACCCTTCGGTGACTTGAAAAAAAAACACATCTGAGATATGGGTGTGGGAAAAGGTTGTTTTGAAGTGCCGTTTGTTACTAGTAAATAGGGTGAGTTATTGGTATGTTGTTTTGAAATATTGGCGATGCAGTTTTTCCTTTTTAGTCTTTGATTGTGTTGTTGCATTAATAATTTTTGGTTCATTCTCACTTAAATCCCAACGATTTTATAGGCGAAATAACTTCTGCGTATATGAAATGTGCCCCAAACGATGCACGTGGATTTTATGTAAAGCTGATTACAAAGTTGAGAAGCACTCTTCCTCCTCCAAAGCTGCATGAGTTACAAACCCTGTATTGCTCATGGAAGGTAATGACAGTTGAGTTTTTTCAATTTATTCAGTCAAATATAACTCCCTTTTTCATCACTTTCCCTTGAGACCAAACTCAATGTGGCGGAGGAGTAAATGTAACTAATAAGTAGAGTTACTCGTCGTTGGCATTCTTCTGTTTTTTTTGTTTGCATAAAATATTCTATTTGTCTATTTTGCAGGATGGGAAACTTGGAAAAGACGGTTTCATGAGAGAATTGGGATCGGTTATTGGTGGCGAGAAGCTCCGCTCCATTATTCAGGAAATTCGTGGTTGAGAGAGATTTTTCTTAGTGTAGTTTTTTATAGTTGGAATGACTTTGAAAATGTTAACAAAGAATCTTATACAAGACATGAAATATAGAGTCAAGCCTCAGGAATTGAGTCTTGCTTTTGAATTCTATAGTTTTTTTTTGTTTTTTAAATAACTTTTGTTATAGAAGTGGGGAACTTGTTGCTTTTTAAATGCAAACAGAACAACTTTCATATGCATTTGGAACTTGTGATGTGTTCTTTTCTTTTGGGTATAGAAGAAATAATCCATGTGTGACAATGTTGGATGTTTATGTGCATGCTTAGGAATGTATGAATATGAACCGCCATAATTTGTTTACCCATCTTTTTTTTATATTAAAAAAACTGTGTGTTTGGAGCATAATATTAGCACTTATCTCTAATTATATAAAAAGTTTATATTTGATTCTTCTGTTATAGAGTAGAGGTGAGTTGAATTTCTGGTGTTTTGTATGTTTGTTGTCGGTCGGTGGTTGAATGAATAAAATCTACACTTTTATTAAAAAAATACTTAAATATAGTAAAAAACTAGAAATAATGGTATTTTTAATTTTTGATTGAAAAATTAAGCTACAAACAGTTCATCTTATCAAACTTTTAAAAAAATTAGGTAAATAACTATTAAAAACAAATAAACACCGAATGAAAATAGATCTTAATGTCACACACTCACACTATGCGTCTATGCCTCTAGCTAAACTCAAATATGGAAAATGACAGTTGTATTCTAAACATATTTTATCTATTTTCCGTATATTACTTATAAAAAATTAAAAATTGTCCGAATAATTTAAATTTTAGAAAATTACAAAAAGATTATAGTGTAATGTAACAAGGACTGATTAAGGCATGAATTTGTTAAAGGTCCCATTTGGCATCAACATTAGAAGTTAATACTAGCGTTTCATTAGAAGTTAATACTAGCGTTTTGAAAGGACTATCCGATGGTAGCCTTTAGCGCTAGCATTTCCAGAATTAATCTACACCATTAAAATTTTATTCAAAACGCTAATGCCAATGGAAAACGCTGTTCCCAAACAATTTTTTATCCTATTATTTTTTGTCTGATTTTTTTATTGTTTGAATGAGTAGAAAATAAGAAGAAAAAAAATATTTTCTTTCCTTTGATTGGGGAAAAGTGCAAGAGAAAAAAATGGTGATGTAAAATGATATTTTTGTACAAAAGGATAAAATAGTTTTAAACATTTGAAAGGCAAAGAATTAATTTCAAATTTTTTCTCTTCTTTCCTTTTTTCTTTCTTTCAAATTTCTCGCTCTAAACGAATGATAAGAGTTTGGTTTCATTTTTTATTTTAGAGTAAATTCCATAATTGGTCCTTTATAAAAGAATGGTTTCCCTTTTTAGTCCTCTATTATCAAATATTACCCCAGTGATCCTTCTTTTGTAGGTATCTTTCCACAAATAGTCCTTTTTTGATCTTCAATCATGTTGGAGTTAATTTGAAGGCTAAAAGTGTAATTTCACAATGATAATATATCTCTTTGTCACATACATATCCAAAGGTTGTTCTGTTTGCGTCGTTTGTGAATTACATTCGCTTTCTACTACAACCGTAGTCTACAAATGTGGTCTTCCGCCGGAATCCTAGCCCACAATCATAGTCATTATTTTTGTGTTATCCGCTGAACCAATATCAAAACATGTCACTAGACATAATGTTGATGTCAAATTATATTTTTAGCCTTTAAATTAACACCCACATGGCGGAAGATCAAAAAAAGGACCATTTGTGGAAAGGCACCCTTACAAAAAGGATTACGAGAGTAATATTTGATAATAGAGGACTAAATATGGAAGACCAACGGAATTTATTCTTTATTTTACTGTGTGTTGTGCTGTGGACATTGTACCGCCATTCTACGCGTTGCATTTCCCCAACCGTTTCTTGTCACATCTATCTATCCCCAGTTTCTCCCTTCCTCTGCAACTGGATTTACTCTCTTTTCTTCCAGAGATTCACCGCCAATCGGGGAAATTCAGTTCATACGGTTTCTCGATTTCAATTGATTGAACAATTTCGAACCGGTTTAGGTTTCGGATTTTGATAGGAGAATTTCTTTCGGTATGAAGATGAAAGACGAGATTCCTGGATACGAGGGGGAAGATGAGGAGATGATGGACGAGATTGCGGCAGCGCCTAGTAAGTACGCGGTGGTTGTCGGCTATGCTCTCACTTCCAAAAAAACTAAGAGCTTTTTGCAGCCCAAGCTCGAACGTCTAGCTAGGTAATTTTCACTTTTTTTGTTTGTTTGTTCAATTTATTCCGTTGTTGAAAGGAATTTGATCATTTGTTACTCAAAGATGTGTTTTGCAATTCTGTTTGTGTGAGAGAACACATTCGATTGGTAGTGGTAACCTTGGGTGATATTTCAAATGCCATTTGTTCGTGTTAATTTGATACATTGATGGGTGGTTTATGAATGTATAAACTATTGTTAGTCTTTTTTATGTACTGATTTTGAGAAGACACTCGAATGATGAACTATTGGGGGAATTTTTAATATTTTGATTTCAATTTAGAGGGTAAGCCGGTAGCACCCGCATCTGTATCTGAATTAACATCTTGTGGAGTGTGGACAATGGTTTCAACATATGGGACCGTAATGTACACCTTCATTTTTCTAAGTACTAAAACACTATATGCCCTGATTCAGTGACAGAACTTAGCTTAAAAGTCCCCTACACACCTTTTCTTTGATCATGCTTAGGTGAAACCTACAAAAAGTAATGTAGATTACAGAAAGATATACGGATGAAAAAAAATCTACAGTAGGACAAGGAGGCAACAATTTACATGATTCAACCCTTGGGAGTGATTGAGTGAATGATGGATGTAGAAGATGAAACACTTGTTGTGGACTACTGTTGGGAATTCATCCGTGTCCCACACCCGATTAATACAACAAATACTACTAACATATAAAGAAATGTGAAGCACTATCCATTGGCTTAAGCTTTTGGTTAGAAAGTTGATTCGGACTTTATATGAGAAAATGATCAAATCTCTCACCTGACACTGCATCCTATTCATTTGGCCCACCCAACTTCTAATATGGTATCAGAGCCAAGTTCGGTTCGGGTTTGATTCGTCTTGGTATTCAACGAGCTAGCTATGAAGTGATTGAGATGCTAGATCCATTTATTCATCCAAGTAGTAATTAGACCAACCTAGTTACCACGGGGGTGGGGGGTGTTGGGAATTCATTTGTGTCCCACACCGGATTAGTATAACAAATACTGCTCCCATGTCCCATATAAAATAGAAGTGAAGCCCTATTCATTGGCTTAAGCTTTTGGTTAGAAAGTTGATCCGGATTTTATATGAGAAAGCGGTCAAATCTCACCCGACATTCCGCCGAGTTCACTCGGCCCATTGAAGTTCTAACAAGTACTAGATTTGTAAGCTACATAATGTAAGTTTTTTTTCTTTACTCTTTGTATCTGAGACCTGTTTTGGGGTCTTTGAAGTATCCCGGCCTGTGATAACTCTCGTTTGTATATGGTCTTCTATATACCTTTTCGGCATGTTTGATGTCACACCTTTTACGTACTAGTACAAATTACAATAGCGCAAAATAATTTTCAATCAAGAAACTTGCTCTCTCTCATGCACTGGAAATTCTATGAAAGGGCTAAGGAATGTATTACGGTATAATTTAGCTTCAATTTCATCACTACTTGCATTTTAAAGTTCAAGAAGTCTTCAATTTTATACTCCCTCCGTCCCAGAGTATTTGTCCACTTTCATTTTTACACACCATCCAATACACTTCTTTAATCCATTTTATCTTGTAATTTGTATATTAAAAAATTATAGAAATTATATATTAATAATCTATATGTTAAGATAAATCAAACAAGATCACACATGACTATATTTAGGCTTACATATTGAGAGAATTTGATGAGTCAAAGTGCTTAGATGAACAGTTCCAAAAGTCAAAAGTGGACGAATATAGCGGGACGGAGGGAGTAGTCACCAATTCACCATTTGCAACATACTTAATTATCAAGTTTCTAATATGAATTTGGAATTTCAAAAGTTGACTGCAGTAAATTTTTTGTTGGGCTGCTTTCATTCATACACGCTATTCAAATTTCTAAATTGGTACAAAGACTTAATTTATACGGAGTATGAAGTTTTAGGCACTAAATGCAACAATGCATTTAGGGTCTAATGGAAACATTTCTGTTTTCACAGAGGTAAAATTGATACATCTTGATCACCAGTAGTATATTAGTGTGTTTCTATGTTCTCATTGGGAATCACAAAAGTAACTTTCTTTCAACTCGTAGATTGAATGTCAACACCATGAACAGGAACAGAGATAAACTTTTTTTCAAGAAGAAAATTGGGATTGCATGACATTTAAGTGATCAGTAGACAGTGAAAAGTTAAATGTTTGTTTGTCACACTTTTGGAGTATCGTGAAAAACATTGTTTCTTCATTCACTCTTAGAATGCTATTGTGGATTCTCTTGATTGACCCCATTTCTACAATTTTGGACATAAGCTCCAAAATCCAAATAAACTTTGAATATATGGTTTGAAGATATGATTCACTTAGCTAAGTTTTTTCAGATTTCTTTCAATTCTTGTATCATTTAATTTGCACTAATAACTTAAGTTATACCGTCTCATCTACAATCAACCAAATTTTTCTGTTCTAAAATGCAGAAAGAAGGGAATACTATTTATTGCTATAGATGAAAGTAGACCTCTTTCTGAACAAGGTCCTTTTGATATAATGCTCCATAAGGTAAAGTTCATTTGAGATTTTTGAGTTTTTCCTATTTCTTTTTGTGTCTCCTAATTTAGGATTTTGATATTGCCAATCCTATGTTATTATTGCCACTCCGCCGAAATGTGTTATTCCTAAGAATAGCCTTTGTCTATGGTGCCATAAATTAGCAATAGCTCCAAATGTTTAACATAAATGGCCAAAGGAATGGAGTTGAATAGAAATTAGAAGAAAATAATTAAATATCCATTCTTTTTGACTTATTTCAAATGGAGTACCCTTCACTTCACATATGAAGCTATTTTTAATTGTATATGATAATTACAATTTTAATTATTTTTTCAATATTCCTCAGTTCTGAAAAACTTCATTTTTTTACTGTAGAATTCAAGAAAAGTGTTGAAAAGTGAAAAGTGTACGAGTCAAATTTGTTTAGAAAAGAGAAATTTTGTAGGCCACACATTCCTTACCTTTTGAGGAAAAAGTAGAAGTAATGTTTTTTAGGACATCCAAATAAGGAAAGTGTGAAGTTCTTTGTAGGAGAGAGTGACAACAACAACCCAGTTAGATCTCACGCAAGTAGGGTTTGCGGGTGTGTGTAGTTTGTACGTAGACTTACCCCTACTCAGAACTCAGAAGTAGGGAGACTGTTTCCGATAGATCCCTGGCTCAAGTAACACATATAGCACAAGAACACAAAAGCCACATAAAATTGAGAAAGTACATGGCACAGAAAGCCAACAACATCACAAATAAATTTCACACCTTTTTTCATTTCCCTTTATGGAAACGAAATGTGGCTCACAATATTCTTTCTCCTAAGCAAATTCTGACAACACATTTTTTTATTTATTTTTCAGCACTTCTTTGAATTCTGTGAAGTCATATGAAATTTATTGTGGGGCAGACGGAGTAAATAATTTATGTGTATATTGTCACTCATATGTTGATATAAATTGAGAAGCTGCACAGAAGATAATTGAGTGGATGAATATGCTTTTCCGGATAAGATGATTTTTTTTAAAGATAGAGGGAGTATGGTAAATTTTGGTAATTTTAGTAGTGTGGAGTGGCAATATCAATATAGGAGTGGCAATATCTAAATCCCTTAATTTATTCAATATAATATTATGTATCTGGGATAGAAAAAGATCTGAATGCAAATAATCATCCTCGTTGTCCCTGACCATTCTATGTTTTTTTTTGTTTCTTCTCCTTGTTGATGCAGTTAACAGGAAAGAAGTGGCAGAGTATTCTTGAGGTTGGTTCTCAGGATATAATTTTTTTTACTAAATACGCTACATCACACTTTTTTTAACCAGTTATGGATAGTTTTTTGGTTGTTAGGAAATATGGATGCCAACATTGTAGTATTGTACGGAGTAAGAAATTTGGTTGCAAGAAATTTTAATTTTTTTTTATGGCAAATAAACATGTATCCGCATAATTATGTGTTCTTTCTCACTTTGCTCTCAGGATTACAGGATGAAACATCCAGAGGTGACAGTACTTGATCCCCCCAGATGCAATAGAGCATCTGTATAGTCGTCAATCCATGCTTCAAGATGTTGCAGACTTGAAGATGTCAGATTCATATGGTAATAATGTTTTGGATACAAATTTATTTCTCTTTTCTTTGATTGCAAATAAATGTATTATGTGTTTTTCTTTATTTTCGTGCAGGAAAAGTTTGTGTTCCCCGACAATTGGTTATTGAGGATGATCCTTCCTCAATTCCAGCAGCTGTGAGTAATGCTCAACTGAGATTACCTCTTGGTATGGTTCTATTCTCTTTATCTTCATATGTTTTTGATTTGCATTACTTCAAATATTAATTCTAATATGGTTATGCACTTGTTGTGTACTTTGAATGCTTTGTTGTGTGCTTTGTTTGCTATGTGCTTTCTCTGCTTTTATGTCTTCTGTGCTCTTATATTGTCTGTGCTATTTGAGCTGGGGTCTCTTGGAAACAGCCTCCCTACTTTCGAGTAGGGGCATGGCCTACGTACACACACCCTCCTCAGACCCTACTTTTGTGGGATCCAGCTGGGTTGTTGTTGTATTACTTTGATTATTACTATGCTTGTTATTATTGATATTAATATTATTATTACTCTGTATTATTATTATTACGGAGTTTTAATTATAAAAGTAACTGTTGTTTCTCAGTTGCAAAGCCATTGGTTGCAAAATCGCATGAGTTATCACTTGCATATGATAAACTTTCCCTTCAGAAACTTGAACCACCCCTTGTGCTGCAAGAGTTTATAAACCATGGTATGTTTTGAAACTTCATTCAAACTCAGTTTGGCTTCAAAAAACTTTTTTTTTTCATTTCTTTTGCCATATGTTGTTATAGGTGGAGTCATGTTTAAGGTTTATATTGTTGGGGAAGCGATTAAGGTGGTTAGACGGTTTTCATTACCAGACGTTGGTAGACGCGAAGCATCAAAGAGTTGTGGGGTTTTCCGTTTTCCAAGGGTTTCCAGTGCAGCTGCATCTGCTGATGATGCTGAGGATTTAGACCCTTCGGTTGCCGGTGATCAATCCCTCTTATGCTCCATATATTTTCAAAATAGAAGAAGAACAAGAATTTTGGCAATAACATCTTTTTTCTTTGCTATATTTAATGTTATTATTGCAGAACTTCCTCCACGGCCGTTGCTTGAGAGACTTGCTAGGGAGCTTCGTCGTCGACTGGTATTCATCTATTATTATTATTATTATTATTATTATTATTATATTCTCCATTTAATTTTGTAGTTTGAGAATGGAGCAAATGTGCTTGATCTGTACACTATTTTTTTTGGTAATCATGATGCAGGGCCTGCGGCTCTTCAACCTAGATATTATTAGAGAACATGGAACCAAGGACCGCTACTATGTCATAGATATCAATTATTTTCCAGGTAATGAAGGATCAAACTTGTTTTTATACCCATACGCGAATTAGGGGTATTGATTTTTGAGGCAAGGTTTTTAACTCCTCCTCGGCGTGTTGCAGGATATGGGAAGATGCCGGAATATGAGCACATTTTTACAGATTTTCTCCTCAGTCTAGTGAAGCACAAGTAGTATATATATATATATATATATATATATATAGATATATATATATATATATATATATATATATATATATATATATATATATATATATATATATATATATATATATATATATATATATATATATATATATATATATATATAGGGGGGATGGAAAAAGGAAAGCAAATTGGAGTGGGCATTTTGGTCACTGCACGCCAAAGGGTATTATTATTGAAGCTGCCTGCACAATAAGCCACCCTGTTTCTGTTCTTTTGTTTTTTAAACCCATTTCCACCCACTCTTTCCATCTGCTATGCCCATTCCTTTCGTGGCAATGAATGGGTTTATGTATATTTTTCTGAACTTTGCACATTGACACTTTTTGAAGTAGCTGTGGGTTCACAAATTCGTTTTCTTTAAAACTGTGTTCGAGAGTGAAGGTGGGATATTCAGTTTTGTATATATCCTGTTCCACTGTCTCTTTTCTTGGTTTGGTAGTTTCTAGCTTCTTTTCGTTCGAAGCCGATCGACTCCAAGTGAACTGGAGTCGAACTTAGACCATAAGGTGTAGAGCATTTGTGGAATTTCGCTACGCCCATTTTCTGATGGCGAATTTTTTATAAACATTTTTTAATAATTATATATTTTTTTAATTCCACTTATTTTTTATCACATCAATGTAAATTTAATTTTAATGTTAATGAATAATTTATTTAATATTTTTATTTTATGTAAATTTTGATTTAAATAAATAAAAAATAAAAAAATTAGGTGCGAAGGTCAGGATCCACATCCCTGTCTAGTGATGACTGTGATGGGAAAGAAAAAAGTTGACATAACGCTTAGTGACCGGGCATGATGGGCAACACCACACTTACGAGCCTAAGGAAAACACACTATGGAGTATTTGTGAATCGATTTGAAGTATAAATCACTTAGTGCTCAAAATCAACAAAGAAGATGCTTGAAAGAAACTTAAGTTAGACAAATTTGCATTTCGTTTAGTTTAATAAAAAACAAGAAGGAACTTCATGTTTTTCTTGAAGGGTATACAAATTTAATGTCAGTATAAAGCGAGTATCATGTTGCAAGTATAATACTCTGTACTACTCAATGATAATACCAATTAACATTATTATTATTGTTGTTATTATTATTAATATTTTGAATGTTATTGACTCGATTAGAATGTAATATTTGTTGATACATTTTTCAATATAATAATATACAAAGAGTCAATACATCCGATGAGACTCAAACTTGGGTGAACATTAAAAATTGAAATGGTTAAAAATAGATTTTAATATTTTTCGTGTCAACTTTCGGGCTTATGTTAACCGTGGCAACTAAAAAAGGTAAGCAATACTTTTTGTTTCTTAAATTAATTGTCTCATTGCAAATTACGATAGTTTTAAAATTTAATTTTAAATTCAATTTGTTTGAATAATGGTATAAATTTCAAAATAAAACTTACTATGCATTAAAAACACTACATTAAACTTTGTACTTCATTTTAAATTAAAGTGTCCCTTGATTACTTATTGCATCGTAAGCATTATTCTTTTCTTTACTTAGAACATGTTTTTTATGGCTTGAACTCTTAACTACCAGTTTCTTACAGTTTTTTCATGTTTCTTCCAGTTTTTTCTAGTTTTTTCCAGTTTCTTCCAGTTCCTTCAAGTTTCTTCCCGTTTCTTCCAGTCCCTTCCAGTTTCATCCAACTTTTCTCATTTTTTTAAATTCTTTCTACTCCTCAACCAATTACTCTAAAAATGATATGTTTTAATGTGATTATTATTATTATTATTATTATTATTACAACTGTTATATTCATAACTATAGTTTATAAATTATTTTTTTCATCTCACTATTTTTGCGATTCACACTTATTATTATTTTTTCAGCTTTTTAATATGAATAAGACATTTTTTTTGTATATTAGTCTACATGATAAAATAGAATAACATCAATATGTTAAATTATACTAAAAAAATTATGGACAAAGTAGTTACATTAAATGTTTTATTAATATAACTTTTTATAAGACATCTCAGTTTTCCCTTTATTACTTAAAAATTACTCATTTTTCTAATTTTTATAAAAAAAAATTGTAAGTTAAAACAGCTTAGAGAAAAAGACTAAAATATGAGTAAAACATAAAAAATGTAAACAAAAAAGTTCTATGTCTTTATTCCAAAAATAGGAATTCAATGAAAATAGAATTTCAATCATGAAAGAAACAATATATTTGATTATGTGACATGTATGATATTTAAAATAAAATGTTTTAATATATAAATTATAATTACAAATATATTATTTATAATAAATACTGAATAAATAAATTGAGGTGCAATATAACTATAAAGACTTATTAAAATTTAATATTTTTATATTTATGCTAACTTTATATTATATTATTTTTTGCAAAAGTAGTTTTTTGTATTTAAAAAATAACAATACTTTTTTTATATCTTAAAGGCATTGACTAAGATAACGTGATGATGATTATGATGATGATGATGATAATGATAATGATGATGATGATTATGATGATGATAATAATAATAATAATAATAATAATAATAATTTATAACAACAAGAATTTAAAATAAAAAATTTTAAAGTTTTTTTACGTTTTTCAATTTTTTTAAGTTTTTCCAGTTTCTTCCAGTTCACCGTTCCTTCCAATTCCTTCCAGTTTCTTCCCGTCCCTTCCAATTCCTTCCAGTCTCTTCCAGTTTTTTCCAGTTTTTTCCAGTTTTTCCAGTTCCTTCCAGTTTCTTTCAGTTTTTTCCAGTTCCTTCAAGTTTTTTTCAATTCCTTCCAACATCCAGCCCTTTTTTACAGTCCTAAAGAACAGGCCCTTAATTTCATTAGGCATTCCGGATGGAGGCCGAGGCTATATTATATTTAATGAGATGAAAAACCAAGCTTATGTTAATTGCATGCGTGAATATAAAGTCAATTCAATAGCACAAAAGAAGCATACATTGGCATAATTTAAGGACGTTATTTGTACGGAAAAAACTAAGCCAATAATACGAAGTATATGTGCAAATAAAGTTAACATTGACAATTTATTTTGGTTTTTTTTTATATCTAAATATCGAACAAAGATAAGTTATACACTCGACTAGTCAACATGATGAGAAAAGTTAGTCTATAGTTGAAAAATCTTGTCAATAAAGTTCATACTCCGTAAATTGAAATAATTTTTGCCCAAGGGTAAATTATGTTACAGGCCTCTTAATATACCAAAACTGCAAGAGTTCTTTGGTAACCTCAATTTTTGTTTACTACCCAAAAACCAAATGTTAACTTATTTATTTGCATTAACTGTTTTGGTTGATCATTACAAAAACCCTTTTTTTAAATTTTTTTTTGGCATCAACCCATATCTACACTCATTTTTTTAATTGTCGTGATAGTGTCCAATATATAGGTGGTGTTTACGTAAAAGAAATGTACTCTCAAGCTTTATTTGAACCATTTGACGGTTCCTACCCTCGGTAAATCCCCGCCCCGATCCGAACACACCCCCACCCCCTTCAACTACACCCCACAAGTTGATTTTGACTTTGGAGTCAAAATTTGACTCCAAAGTCAAAATCAACTTGTGGGGTGCAATTGAAGGGGGTGGGGGGTGTGTTTGGGTCGGGATGGGGTGGTGAGGTTTACCGGGAGGTTAGGGGGGTAGGAACCGTCAATTTTACGAACGAGGCACCGGACCGCCTCCGGGTGATCCCATGACATTGGTTCCCAATGTCATTGGAACCTTGGTGTTTGATTTCATACTACTAAAAAATTAAGAAAAAAAATTCAATAGTGAAAATTTATTAAGAAAAATGAAAAGAAATATTTACAATATGCTCCCATTGTCCAAAAATTATCTTCCGATTATGTGTTATAATATTTGACTGAAGTTATTTTCAAATCATTTTATATGAAAAATATTATAAAATTTAAAAATAAAAATTATATATTTAAAAAGTACATCAAAAGAAATACAAAACTAAAAGTTACATAACTATATTATTCAATCAAATCGGCAATGAAAATAAGTTAACAAAATAAATAAAATTTGACCTTATTAGTAGTGAACGAGATGATAATTCGTGAACAAAGGGAATATCTTTTATTTTTGAATCGGACACACTACACAAGAATTTTCAAGTATATTCTCCTTATAAGCAAAACAACATGAAAAAATACAACAGACAAGAATTTTTCTTACTAGTTACTACAATAAACATTCTTTTAGAGTCCTTCCCCAAAAAAAGAAAATTTGTGTAGAAAACCATATTTAAAAAATAAAAAAATGAAACAGTTAGAGGAGGACGCATACATGTTGCATGTGTTTACAAACATTATTTTGAATTTCGCACCAAATTTGAAGTTTTTGATATGTTGCTTAGGTCATCGGATAAGCACACCTGGATCCACGGTGGTTCCAATGAAGCAATCCTGGCAGCCCACGTGTCGCGTCTCATTCTCTGCGCCCGCACACACCCTATTTCTTCCTCATCCAACGGCCCAAAATAATTCCCCACCGCAACTGATCATTACATCTCGGGCCTATTGGTTAACAAAAACAGCCACAACCAGACAAAGCGATGGGCCCGAAGCTGTGATTTCACGTGGGCCTAACAGGGGCACCGGCGTCATTTCACCCGAACAACCCGGGGCAGTCTTGACATTTCACGTGCTCCCCAACAGAAACTCCCGCTGGCATAAAATCAATTCCAGGCTGTTCCCAGCTGTAGTCCAAACGCACGCACTGTGGATTTTTCTGTTTTCTCATTTTTTATTTTATTTTTTACTCAAACTGATTCTCCTCCTCTCCCAATAAAGAAATAAATAAATAAAAATATCTTTAATTACTTACCAAAATAAAATATGGAAACACAGTCCGAAGAGAAAAGGAGAAGAATCTGTTTGCTCTCTTACATTTCCCCTCCCTCTGTAAGAGAGTGAGCGAAAACGATGGAGAAGACGATGGATGATGGCGTCATTCATTAGCAGGCCTGTTTTTGGGTTGGAATTGGAATTCTGAGGGTTTTTTTTAACTGGGTTGAGTTTTTCTTTCGCCGGAGGTAATTTAATGGATCCCTGTCCTTTTGTGCGGCTCACTGTGGGGAATCTGGCGCTTAAGATTCCGGTGGCGACCAAGCCTGCTCGCACGGCGGTGCATCCTTCGTCGTCTCCTTGCTTTTGTAAAGTAAGGCTGAAGGGTTTTGCCCTCCAGACTGCCGTCGTGCCGTACATTCTGCCGGATAACCAGTTCCCCGACGGCCAGGTCCAGTCTCTTGCGGCGAGCTTCCATTTGAGCAAGTCCGATCTCGAGAAGCTCGCGGCCAAGTCGCTTTTCGGAGGGAAATTGCACATGAAAATCTCGATCTACACTGGCCGGAGGGGAACGAGCTGCGGCGTCGACTCCGGGAGGCTGTTGGGGAAGGTGTACGTCCCGCTGGATCTCACGGGGGCGGAGACCAGAGCCATTGTTTTCCACAGTGGTTGGACTACCGTCGGGAAGGATTACAAAAACTCGGCCGCCCAATTTCACATGAATGTCAAGGCCGAACCAGACCCGCGATTCGTCTTTCAATTCGACGGCGAGCCGGAATGCAGCCCGCAGGTGTTCCAAATCCAAGGCAACATTCGTCAGCCGGTTTTCACCTGCAAATTCAGCTTCCGCTCCTCCGCCGACCGGAATCAACGCTCCAGGTTCGTCGTCCTTTTCGGTTCAATTCTTTACTTTTATTAGATTTGATATATTCTCTGTTACACATTATATTGTTTGCATTGTACGGATATATCAACTTTCTCTGCTTTTACAGACCAATGGCGATGGAGCAAAGTGGTTCGAGAGGGTGGTTAAGTTCGTTCGGGAGCGAGAGGGAGCGGCCGGGTAAGGAGCGGAAAGGATGGTCAATCACGGTTCACGACCTCTCCGGTTCACCGGTTGCGGCAGCGTCAATGGTGACTCCATTCGTTGCCTCCCCCGGTTCGGACCGAGTCAGCCGGTCAAATCCCGGATCTTGGCTGATTCTGCGGCCTGGAGACGGCACCTGGAAGCCCTGGGGCCGTTTAGAGGCATGGCGGGAGCGGGGATCTGCGGACGGACTCGGATACCGGTTCGAGCTGATCCCAGACTCGGCGGCATCCGGGATCGTTCTCTCCGAGTCGACGCTGAGTTGCAGCAAAGGCGGGCGGTTCATGATCGACCTGGCTTCGTCCGCGAACGGGTCAAGGACGCCGAAGAGCTCGGCGTCGCCGGGCTGCAGCCCGAGGGGCAGCGGGGATTACGGGAAGGGCACGTGGCCGTACTACTACAGAGGGTTCGTCATGTCGGCGAGCGTGGAAGGAGAGGGCGCCGGAAGAGGGAAAAGCGGGAAGCCGACGAGCGTGGAGGTGAGCGCGCAGCACGTGAGCTGCACGGAGGACGCCGCGGCTTTCGTGGCTTTGTCGGCGGCGATTGATCTCAGCATGGACGCCTGCAAGCTTTTTTCTCAAAAGCTCCGCAAAGAGCTCTGCCCATCTCAAGATTTACTCTCTTGATTTTACCTCTTTTTTTTTATTTTTACGTAATCGATTATTTTAAGGTCTGTTTGGTTGGATGTTTGTTAATGGGTGGTAAAAAAAAAGTAGGCGATGGTTGTTGGAGTATGTCGCGGCATGTTTGGCTAACAGAAGAGGGGGGGTAATTTTTAACAGGGAGGTGGTTTGTACAGTGGAGAGGGTGAATTTTTAATTTACTACTGAGTGACACACAGACGGGGGGTGGGCACGCTCTGTCTAGCTTTTTAAAATTAGACTAGGGGTGTGTTTGGATCCTGTAATTTCATTTTGGACTGCTACCTGTGGCTCTGTTTCATGTCAATTGTCAAATTGTTTTGGGTTTTCCCTTTGTCAATCTGTCATTATTTACTGTACTATCTGCTCTATGTTTTTACTAGGATGTGTTTGGTTGCTTGGAAATGGAGGGAACTTTCATCTTTGGCAGAATCATTTGTTTTAGTTTTCACTGTAATTTAAACATGTTCTTTTTGTCTGGCAAAAGATTTTTTGTTTTGATTTTGGAAACAAGAATTTCTTTTTGCAAATTATATCAGGCCTTTGCATGTTTTGATCAACAAAATATATGTGTTATATAGAACATATAATTACATAGTTATATTAGGCCTTTGTGTAATTATTTGGTTCTCTAGTTCTATAGACTACATTTGTATCAAAAAGCAATGCTTTCTTAAGAAAGAGTAAAGCCAAGTCTCAATTTTTTTGTACATTTTAGTTGATATAATACTCTTTACCATTAGAGGGGAGTCACGGAGGTTGCTTTGTTTTCTGATTGTTCGTTGCTCATTCAGGCCTTAAACAAGAGAGAGACAAGCTAAAGATCGTTCTTATCTGGGAATTATTGAGAGCGAGTGTAGGCTCTTGGCCTCTTATTTTTCACAGGTTCATTTTTGTTACTTTTCCAGGCGTTTTAATTCTATTACGCATGTTTTGACTAAGAACTCTGAGGACGGAGGCAACATTTGGCCGTCCAATCCGTCTGCTTGTATTTCGCACTTAATTCATTAATGGCATGTTTTGCTTTCCCTAAAAAAAATACTCTTTACAATTAAAAGTTATTTTTGAAGTTATATATAATGCTCTATATAAAGTTAACAACCGTTCACACATGAGTTTGACAATTTGTTGTTCTAAATATTGTCTTCAATATTTTTAATATTTTGAAACTCTAGATAATTATTTTTATTTTAGTTGTCTGTGACCAAGCTTGAAGTTGAGCCAAATCTAGTACAGAAAAACCATTTATGTGTTGGGAGTTTGGGGGTTTCCACACTAGATGTTTAAATCAAACATTACCTCAATATAAAGAAAGATGAAACATTATCCATTAGCTTAAACTTTTGGATAGAAATTTTATCCGGACTTTATATGAGTTAGTGATCAAATATCACCCAACACTCCGTCCAGTTCACTTGCGCCACCGAAAATTCAACATAATGCAACCTTTTTAAATATTCGAGTGTCATTGGTGTAATTTTTAAAACTCATAAGTTATCAAAGCAATTTTTTTAAAGTCAAGGATAAAATACACAGAAAACTCATATGTTTGGTAACCATATGATCATAGAAGTGATAAATGAAATGAAAAATTATACAGTTTGAAACCCATGATTATTTGATTGTATAGTAGAAAATAAACAGTAATTATTAAAAAATGACTGCCTGCTATTCTTCAATATAATGGTGATTAATTATGTACTCTGCTGGTCATCCTTCTCCAACTGCTCTGCTTCAACCTTCCCCTGTCTTGTTCTGCTCATCATCATCTACTCCTTCAGTCTTCTCCTGCACCTTCCTTTCTTCCTCCTCCTCCTCATCATCATCAATCTCATCATGTTCCACTTCATCATCATCATCATCATCTTCTTCTGCAGGCTTATGATATGCTCCTCCTCCATCCAATATGTTTTGACTTGGGACTCTTCTTCACCATCAACCCCTTCCTCCCAAACTTGAGCATTAGTACATGGTGAAGGCTGCTGCTGCTTTCTCTCTGGATTCCTCCCTCATGAATCATGATCAGCCGCAACTAATAAGAATGATACCTTGTTATCATTATTGCTCTGATGAGAGATCATCATCATCACTTCATAAAGCAGCCATATGGACAAGGCAAGACACATATCTGAAATGATAAGTGCTTGCTAAGTGAATCAGTGAGTGAGCTAAGTGAGATATGCGGTTCCAGCTAGGGGTGGAGTCGGTTCGTGGTTTGATGGTGTCGGTGGGTGATATATATATATTCCCCCATGTGAAGAAGATGGATGGGTGTATAAAAATACTACGTATGTATAATAAACACGGTTCGCATTGATGGTTAATTTATGGCACCAATGAAAGAGCGACATGTTTGTAGACAAATTGGGCCTGTTTGGGAATAGCGTTAGAGATTAGCGTTAGCGTTTTGGATAAAATTTTAACGGTGCAGATTACTTTGAAAACGCTAACGCTAAACGCTGCCCGTAGATAGCCTTTTCAAAACGTTAACGCTAATCGCTAACGCTATTCCCAAACAGGCCCAAAGGAAAAAGGTATTATTAATCTTGGTTGAAGATTTGGGCGAGAAGTTAAAGCAACAAAGCTGCATTATTACTATTTCATTACTACCCTTAACTACTCACAAACTACAAAATCACAGACAACACCTATCTTTCAGCAACCGACCACTTTTCTGGTGTTTATGGCCGAACCAAACCATACTCATCTTCAACACTAGCTAGAAAGGTGACTGCAGGTCCGTTCCTGACTGGTCATAGACAAATGATGCTTAAAATGAAAACGTATAGAGATCTGTTAGACAGTAGTCCTATTCCTAGTTGTATTTGTATTGTCTCTCTATATATACATTACCATGTACCCTATTGTAAGGTGTGAAATACAATTATTCAGTTGTGTCAATATGGTATCGGAGCATAGGTTCCAAAAACCCTAAAATCTCGGTGGCTTCATTGCCGCCCCCTTCCCATCAATTTTTTCTTCTTCCTCTTGATTCTTCATCATGGCAAAAGGTACCCATGATCCGTTTGATACCTTACCTGGGGGCCTAAAACTCTTTCTTCGCAATCTTCATGCCTTGATTCCTACCAAATTGGAGGATCACAATTATCCTGCCTGGTCGTCCACAGTCCGGGCCACGCTTGTTGCTCATCGGTTGTTGGAATTTGTTGATGGTACTGCGCAGCCACCGCCTCCCACAATTGTCGACGAAAAGGCTCCAGCGGCTGCCGATGGAGTTCCGGTTCTCAAACCGAATCCGGCTTATGAGCAGTGGACTATTCTTGACGCTCAACTCCGTGCTGCTCTTCTTGTCACACTATCTCCCTCAGTTCAGAATCTTGTTCATCTATGCCCTACTGCTGCTGCCATCTGGGATCACCTTCATCAACGGTATAATTCTCTTTCTCGCACGCATATCTTCCAACTCAAAGAGCAACTTCACAATTTACGTAAGGGAGAATTGTCTATGCAAGCATATCTTGACGAGGCTCTCAAAATTGTCACTGCACTTTCTCTTGCACGAGAGCCTGTCCCCGAACAAGATCTTATTCTCAATGTCCTACGTGGTCTTCCCTCGGAATATGCATCCCTCAAACAAAATGTTCGAACAAACATTACTGATCTCACGTTCAACAAGGTCTCGTCATGGCTTCTTTCTGAAGAGCTCAATGTTCAACTAGAACACAAACTACAGATTGGTACCCCCTCCACGTCCAACACAGATGTTCATACCGCTCTCTATACTCATAATCGTGGAGGAGGATCACGTGGGCGTGGGCGAGGACGACTGCCCAGTTTCTGGGGAGGACGCATCAGTGGTAATGGGGGCCGAACCTCTTCTGACTGTAACATTGGCCGAGGTCGCAGCAGTGGTCAGTGGAATCCTTTACTTATTTGTCAAATTTGTGGCAGGTCTAATCATGGAGCGTGGCAGTGTTGGGATCGTTATAATGAAGATGTCAATGGCCCTTCTCAACGAACGAACAATCAAGCCTTGTACACTGTATCCCCTACAGACTCTAATCAGTATTGGCACTTAGACTCAGGTGCAAGTACTCATGTTACGTCTGATTTATCAAGACTCCAAAATCCTATTCCTTATCACGGTCAAAATTCTGTTTTCACTGCTGGGGGACAATCCCTTCCGATTTCACATGTTGGCTCAGGTGTCCACTCCCACAGGTACTTTTACCATATCAAACCTCCTTCATGTTCCCCATTTAAAAACCCACCTCTTATCTGTCCATAAATTTACCAAAGAAAATAACTGCTCTCTTATTTTTAATTCAAAGGAATTTATGATCCTAGACAACCATACCAACCAAGTGACATACAGAGGCCCATGTGAGCAGGGACTGTACACCTTACCCGCCACTTCTTCATCTTCGTCCACCGCGTATGCTGCAGCTCCGCTGATGACTCGTGCTTTGAAGACCACAACTCATCAGTGGCACTGTCGGCTTGGTCATCCATCTCTTGAAGTTACAAAATCTTTACTCTCTCAGTTAGGTTTTAATGTAGTGCCAAGTGCCTTTCATTGTGATTCATGTTGTATGTCAAAGTCTCATAAATTATCTTTTCCATTATCCACTTCTGTTACTACTGCTCCTTTTCAATTAATACATTCTGATGTTTGGGGTCCTACTTCTGTCTCTTCATTTGGTGGCTATCATTTTTATATCAATTTTGTGGATGATTTTACTAAATATTGTTGGATTTATCCACTTAAACATAAATCTGATGCCTTTAATGCTTTTCAAAGTTTTCAATCCATGATAAAAACTCAGTTTGGTCAGCCACTCAAACTCATTCGAACTGATAATGGTCGTGAATATTGCAACCAGAAATTTGGTCTCTTTTTACAAAGCTTAGGAATTCTCCACCAAAAGTCATGTCCATATACTCCTGAACAAAATGGGGTTGCTGAACGCAAACATAGACATCTCATTGAGACTCTTGTCATGCTTCTTTACACCTCTTCCCTTCCCACGACCTTTTGGGTAGAGGTTCTTGCCACTGCAAACTATCTTATTAATCGCATGCCCAAGCGTTCCCTCCGTTACAAAAACCCTAAAATCTCGTTGTGTCAATAAGATCAAAAGAGGATGACCAACCAGGTCACTCGAAGGAAGGTAGCTTGTCATCTGTTTGGAGGTCATATTTGATATCCCCATCGGAATTTGGAGGTCATCAGATTCATCCATCCACCATGTCATCTTCACGAGTTGAAGTAGAATTAAAGGTCTCTTATATATATTGTCTATCCCGAATTGATAGCTTGATTGACAGAAACGTACTTAGAAGCTTGGTTTCCATATTTATATATTGATTGACGCTAGATAGATCAGCGGCCCAGCAGTGGCCAATTACCACTTCTTCCGTTGGCCAATTACATTTCCCACAAGATCGGCCGTAAACACAAATTTCAAGAGGAACACATAATGCAATCTTCCGTTGGCTAAAAGTTCAAATTCCTATTAAAATCATCTCTAATCATTTACACTAAACTCAAAATACAACAATTCCTCTCCAATATTTAATACTCCAAATTCAAACTCATCAAATCACAACATGTTTATTTTATCACTTATTTTTGTACTCCCTCCGTCCCCCATAGATCTTCCTAATAGCCCTTTTTCTTTGTCCACAATAGATCTTCTCATTTCATTTTTTAACAATTAAAATACTACAACTACCCTCACTTACTTTATTTATTACACCTCACCCATCTCATTTAATACACTCCACCCATTTTTTCATTAAGGGTATTATGGTAAACTTTCACCTTTTTTCAACTTTCCTTAAAAACCACCAAAAGTCAAAATGAGAACATCTTAGGAGGACGGAGGGAGTAATGTTTAAATTAAAGAAAACCTTTGTTGATGGAAAAGACATTGAACTAAATAAAAATAAAAGCCCCGGTTGCGTTCTTCCGTTGACACTCAACAACGGTGACACTAGCGGTGCCAATACGTTTATGAGAACTTCCAGTGCTCCATTTGGAAAAATAAACGACTCAAAAATTTAATTTGGTTAAGTCGCCAATGCAAGACGCCAACTGCAACCTACTCCCAGAGGCAACTAGGAGGATTTTATTTCTTTTGTTGCATACCAAAGATTACAAGCAGATAAGCATCTCTTATATAGAGAAAACAATGGAGACAATGAAGAAGCCAGAGCCACAAAGTAGCTTCCAGTTGGTCTCTTCCCTGGCTTCCTGCCAATATCTTGTTTGGTTCCACCTAACTTTCTGGTTTCACACTCAACAATGTCTTGTTTAGTTTAGAGGACGATTGGAGAAGCACTCCAAAAGTAAAAGAATTGCAGGTCAATTGGAGATGGTCTAAGTATATATGAATCGCTGCATGCTGGGTGCCGGGTTCTTCCACCTCCACCTCCGGAGTATATATGGGGAGACCCAAACCCTCACAATTAGCTCCAAAGCAACAACAGGGGAACTAACACACCTTTTAAAAAAGGAAAGTATAGAGGAAGAAAGACTCTATATAGTCAAAGAAAATGATTAATTCATTATGGAGGAATTAATAATATTTTGATGTATGACTACTCTTTCATTATGATTTTTTAATATATGGAAAACTAAATGGAGTTGGGTACATTTTTTGTTTCTATATTTATTCATTTTTAAGATACAACAGTAAATTCATATGCCCCTTCGCCTGATATTGAGGAGGCTTAATTTGCCCCGGCACCTTTGGTCGACATAAACTCTTTGGTTGGGCATTATACTTTGTGACCAAACAAATCGTAAGCATGTTATTTGTGTTAGTTGGTGCTATTTCGACTTAGTTGGGGTTGTAGCATCCTACCCGTCATTAAAAGTGCTAACGTGAGTGAAAGAGAAGACTCTGCATATCTACAAAGACATTACGTGACTACAAGTCTATGGCTGCGTGGATAGCATGCCTTGGGAGGAAAGCATCCGAGCTCATCCTGTTCTCTTAGGACGCTACTCCAATCTCATCAAGTCCAATGAGGACTCCACTAGGGTTAGCAAGTCTCTCCTATATATATACAAGCTTCGACGCATCAAAAGTGCAGAGAGAGAGAGAGCGAATTGCAAAATACTGTGAAAATCAAGGAAGTATTACGCAACGCTCATCTAGTGCAACTCAGATGAGGAAGTGCATATGAATAACCAAGTCTTAATATCCTTGCTGCAGATTCGAAGCTCTGTAATGAATAAGAAGTACTAGATGTCCAGCTGTTGATCTATGTAGCGTTGGAGAAGAGCTGATAGCATGTCCATAAACGGAGTTATCAAAGTTGGTGTAACTTTCCGTAGAAGGTGAGACAAACAGAATTTATCGTCAAGTCATCCGTAAGTAGATTAAGTCAATACACTAGATAGAATTTGTGATTGAAGGTGTAATGTTTATGATGATTTAGTGGAAGATTTGTGATACGTACGTGGGCCCGCACATGTAGGAGAGTTACTCCGAACTGCGTAAACAACTCTTGTGTTTTATTTACTGCTTATATGTTGCTTTCTGCGTATGTGTCAATGACTGAGAAAGCGTGGTAGCACTTTGTTTGTTTTTTGTTCTTATTGTCGTGCTACAGCAGTTTCTGTAGCAGTATATTTGTTTGTTGAACACTTGAACCTGTTTGCTTAGATTGTTGTGCCCTTTATAAAGTTCAAGGTGTTTGTGACTCAAATCTTTTCTCTTTTTTTCCAACACTTTCCGCCATACTACTCCGTATTTTTTTGTAAGTTTCGTGCCTAATAAATGTGGACTATAAGACTGTCTATTATTGGGAGCGCCCCCAAGGCGTGGACTACCAGCCTCATGCCCCCATTTTTCGGATGTCATACTAGGCGTGAAGGGGCGTTGCCTCTTTGGCTGTGGTAGTCGTTCCGCCGTGGTTACCTTCTTCCACGTTTTTTTTAATTATTTTTTTCAATAATTAAAATTTAACTCATTTTCACCTCAATCAATCAAAATAATAATATACTTTTATATCCCATCACTTTTCGATCACTCCCCCCTTTCCAGCTACATTGCACATATTTTTTTACTCTGCTTACATAGTGCATGCGTGACACTTAATCAAACCTTGTCAAGCTCATCATAACACATGGTCTAAATGATATGATAATGAATTAGTTATTTTATATATTAATTAGTATTCTTTAAGCGTATGAATCTTGTATGAATTGTATTGAGATAGAGAATAACTTCGAGCGTCTTCGAGCTCCAAGAAAGGAGTGCAAAAAGTTTCGGGCTCCAAGAAAAGAGAGACGAGACATTAGGATTTTGATATTCTTTAATATATAGAGAGAGTAAAACCATGTTAGGTGACTTAATGATATAGCTAATCTATTATCATATCACTAAATTGGGACAAGGAGAGTAAAAAAACAAGTGGGACGCATGTCTCATGCAGAAACCGCATAGGTGGGTGAAATTGAAATGTTCAACATCTGGTGTGTTTAGCTAATGCAACTATAACGTGCGTGGGGTAACCCCTCAACATCTCACACTAATATAAAAAAAAAACCATAAAAATCTTTTGCAAGATACGGAAAATGGTAGGGAAGGGAAGGGACTCAGCTTTTGCAGTTTGCCCTGACAATTGGCCTTCAATTATTCATATACTGTTCTTCATTTTACCCAGTTTTGCTCCCCCCTCTCTCTCTCTCTTCATTTACCCCTTCTTGTACAATCCCCTTCACACATTTGAGTCCGTAAAAACAATGTTTGACAATTTCCATTTAAACCAAATACACTCACTACTTTGGATGTTAGTCAACAATAGATGTCAAATAATGATACCTAAATACAAGTAGTCGAAAAATTTTAAGCATTGAAAATGTCACACTTCCATACAAATCTTAATCATCAACTTTTTGGAAATTGTTTTTTGTTACATATACTAAAAATAGAGTGGTTGAGAATAAATTTTATGTCTAAGCGATACGTCAAAAAGAGTCACAATTCTCAATAAAAGAAAACCGAAACGAGAAACAATAAATACGCATTATGACTACTTTAAAAAAAACATTTAAAGATAACAACAAACGCACATAGGGAAAACCAGTAAACATGACCGCCACAAATTCCTAGGGAAAGATAATGCGGAACGCTTCTTTGTCCGTTTCATAGGAGACTAAGGCTGTGACTGTCCCTAATTAAAATCCTAGATCAACAAAAAACACAATGCCTGCCACACATGGATGGAGTTTGAGAGGACAAGCTTTGGTCCCAACTTAACAAACATACCACGATCTCAATTACAGTATTGTTAATTCTGCAATTTTTATTATTACTATCAAGGCCAGAATTTGATCATCTAACTAACTAATTGGGGATGAAGAGGAGCTGGCAATCAGATCTGTTCATCTACATACAGTATCCAATCTGGGGATTCATCTAACGGTTCCAGATTTGGATATCATACATACACACACACATGACAAAATTATATAGACAGATGAATTGAAGAAACTCTTTCTTTTTTTTCTTCTTCATTCATGTGACAAAAAGACAGAATAGTAAGAGGAACGAGGTTTCTTTCCTTTGGTTCATGATTCTGGGCAGGTGCAGGTTGAATGTGTGTGTGTGTGTGTGTGTCAAGGGTTGAAGATGAGGTCGCCGCATTTACACTTCCAGCACATGGGTTTGTAATTTGAGAGGTAATCCTCTCTGGAAAAGGCCACATTCCTGGGCAAATCTCGACTCCTGATTGTCGGTTGGCGTTTGAGGTTGGGAACGACGGGGACTTGAACCGCTTCACAATGGCCACAATTTCTGCACTTGCTCTCGCATCTCGGTGGCCTTGACCCTATCAACACTCTTCTCCCCTGTTTTTTTGTTCATTCTGACATTAATTCAAAAGCCAAAACAAAACTAAAACTTACAATTTAGGAGTAATCATAAGAGGATTTGGAGCCTGACCTGAGATGTGGTGTCTTCCTTGTGCTCTGTTTGATGTTGCTTTTCGAGAACTATTACTCTGCCTGGAAAGTGAAGAAAACAGGGGAGAGTGAGTCAAAAAGAAAGAGATTCATTAATGACCTGCGGCAGGAAAACGAAAGATGAGATTTTGAGAAGGACCCAGTTACCTTGAGCGCAGAAACTATAATGGGTGAAGATTGAAACAGAGAAAAGGAGAAGGAATAAGAGCGGGCGTTGATTTCCATGGCGGGACGACATGCAGTGGCGGGCGGCCATGGGAGAAAGGAAAGCTGGAATTGGAAGGAAGAAGGTGCAGCGCAGATGAGAGGGCGAGTTTGGAATAATAACAATGGAGTGAAAGATTTGAGAGGGGAAGAAAAGAAGGAAAAGAAAGATGAACCAAAGGGCTGAGGAAATCGGGGGGGTGGCTGTGTGAAGTCCCTTCAGGGTTCGTGCTCCATCGCTACTGTTTGCAGCGACGAAAACGGAACAATTAATGTCTTGTTGCAGATCGAAAAGATGTTGAGTGAAGAAAGGGAGTTTAGATTGCCCCTGAAAAAGAGAGTGAGGGAGATAGAGAGAGAAGGACGACCTCTAAAACCTCGTACGTTGAGCCACTATTACTGCAAAGACCATGCTACACTTACACCAAAAAATATACCCTATTTGTACACCAGAAGTTTGTACAAACATTTCGATGGTTACACCGACACAAGTGTTGGTGCGTTGATAAAAATTCACACGGACACAAATGTTAGTGTGTTTAACAAAAATTAGTTTTACACCAACACAAAGTGTTGGTGCAAAACTGCGGGGTAGAAATTGGAGTACAGACTTTGGGATACACATAGCATAATCCTTACTGCAATGCCCCAAAAATCAGATAATTTAAATTTAATAAAAGTATTAAAAATTACTCCCCAAAACTGCATTTTTTAATGCCACTTTGATATCATAATTTGTCATAGACAAACATGCACAAACAATTAATAATTATATTTTTAATAAAAAATTAGTCTATACTCCGCATATGTTTGTGAGAAATTATGATGTCCGTAAATGTTGCGGAGTTAGTAAACACAATGGGAGTCAATGGGTAAGACTCGAGTTTGATTTTTTGATACTGTGTTGGGAGACAACTATGCTAAGCATAAAGATTCTGCAAATATCAAGTTTAGGTTTCACTCTTTGTCACCAATCTACGACCAAATTTCAATTTACCTCCTAGCCCTGACTGTCTGGTCGGGTCTGAGAAATTAATCAAATTATGATGTTAAAATAGTACAAAAAATTGCGGTTCCTTATTTTTTCAATAATAAAATGTACTCCATAAAACTTAATCCTTTCGCCTCAAATTAATTTATATTTTCGAATAACATACATTTTTTTTAAATTTTATTATTTGTAAATTGATATCAAAATAAAAAGTATATATACTAATTTATACTTACTCCATCCCACAATATTTTTCTGGTTTGATTTTTAAAAGATTTAAATAGAGTGTATTTTGGTGTTGACTTTTTAAAAATATTCTTGTATGTGATAGGTAAAGTAGATGTGATAAGTAGATTAATAGTAAAAAAAGTGTGATGTGATAGTATGTTAAGAATTAATATGGGTAAAAACTTTTTAAAGAAAATGAGAAAAATTGTTTGGAATAGATAAAAAAGAAAGAAAAAAGGTTTTGTGGAATGGAAGAAGTATATATATCATATCAAAACGTGTACTCCGTATAAAATAAGATGTAACAAATATTTTATTTCAGTCATTCACCAATAAAAATATTAAGGTAAACAAAAGTAATCAAAAACTTTGTTAAGAGTATCTTACATCGGAAAAGTGTGAGGAAAATAATTGATACATAAGCTCTCGAGTTGAACTAACTAATCGATTGGATTCAATCTTTTATTGTGGTTCAGCCCAAGTGTTTTATAGCCTAATCCAGTTGTCCATACTCATCCTAAATTCTATCAAACTTAAATACTTTCTCCGTCCCGGAGTATTCGTCCAGTTTTGACTTTTGGAACTGTTCATCTAAGCACTTTGACTCATCAAATTCTCTCAAATATAGTCATGTGTGATCTTGTTTGATTTGTCTTAACATATACTTCCTCCGTTCTCAAAAACACTTTCTCTTTCATTTTTGTGTCACTTCCAAGTAACACTTTCTCTTTCTATTAAAAAGCTACTTTTACCCTTACTTTTTCATACCCTATCTATCACATCATACGTTTTCTCTAATAATCAATCCATCACATCTTACTTTTACCGATCACATCAGGGGCAAAATTGGAAGTCAACTATAATTTTACATTTCCTTAATTTGCCTTATTTTCAAAGTGGGAAGGGTTTCCAAACCGAGGGAGTAGATTATTAATATATAATTTCTATAATTTTTTAATATACAAATTACAAGATAAAATGGATTAAATAAGTGTATTGGATAGTGTATAAAAATGAAAGTGGACAAATACTCTGGGACGGAAATAGTAATAATTACTAGTACAAATTATTTTGGAGCAAAGGGAAGGAAGGAAAATTTTAGAAAAATGCTAGGGGTACACATTTGGGTACACCAAATGTGTACCCCATTTGTCCCCCACCCCCTCCTCATCCACAAAATAAAGGCAAAAAATTTAAAATAAATAAATAAATAAAAATAAAATAAAAATTTGTGGTGAAGAAGGGGGTGGTGTACATTTGGAATACACCAAATAGTGTATCCCTAGCATTGCTCAAAATTTTAATTTAAAAACAAAAAAATAGGAAGAAAATGAGGAAAGGGAGCAAGTAAGAATTATTCAAACCACCAGTCCTAGACCACTACTAGTGCTAGGCTGCAAAATACTAGGGGAGTAGGCGAGGGAGGAGTGTGTGTATGGAGAAATGGCTCGGCGTGCTGCCTGCTGACGTGGGGGTGGTGCTGCTTTCACCTTGGGATAATGATATCTTGCTTCGTTGTTTAGGTGGCAATAACATTACATGAGGGTCTAATCGATAAGTGATGTGTTATGACTTAGAGGAATTTAATTAAATAAAACTAAGAGCAATGCTAGAGGAACACTAAAGTATATTCAATTTGTCCTAGACCTGTGCAAACAAGGGTCAGTCCGTTCGGCCCGCCTAGCCCGCCCTTTAAAAAGGGCGGACATGGACAACCTTTAATACCCAAATGGGCAGGCCGGCCCAAGCCCGAATTGTATATGGGCGGATTTGGAAGTTACTTTTAGTCCATCTGGGCCAATAAGCCCGTCCATATTCATCAAATATATTTACTTTATAATTAATTACCTAGCCAATATAAATTTTAAAATTTTCTACTCCCTCCGTCCTATAATGATCTTCCCGGTTCGCAAAACGAAGAAAAATCCCAAGTTTTTCAATCTATTTTATTTAAATATTGGTATAAAAATAAAAAATAAAACATACATATTTAAAAACTACACCAAAAGTTCAACAAAACAATTGGTGACAAGAATATTTTATTTTATCATATAGACCATGAAAAAACACAAATAAATATAAATTCCCGTGAAGTTAGAATAGTGCTCTGGGAAGATCATTATAGGACGGAGGGAGTATAATTCATGTATAATAGTTTAATTCACTCACCTCTTTTAAACAAAAATCGATACTCTTTTAACAAATCAGTATGATGAGTTTATTAATTATGCAACAATATCTCTATTATGATTTCTGTATAAATGTGGTGACTGATTATTTTATTTTAAATATTAAAAAAGAGTTCAATATTTTTTTTAATTTTTTGTACAAAAAAAATTCTTGATGTTTTATCCGGGCCGGGCAGCCCGGTGGGCAGTCCGGCCCGCAAAGATGGGCGGGTATGGGTTAAGAATTTAGCCCATCAAATACGGGCCGGGCCAGGCCCGCCCATGTAAATGAGCTAAAAATTTATATCAAGCCCGCCCCAGATCCGGCCCGGATCCTTATTTGCACACGTCTAATTTGTCCTCAACTCCTTTTTTTACTACTTATTTTTATTTAATTTTTATTTATTTAATTTTTTTTAAAGTTTTTGCCCCTTTAAGGAAGGGGTGGGGGACAAATTTTTAGTTCTAGCATTTTTCTGGAACTAAAATCTAATGCATTTTGCTCTATCATATATTTTTATATTTCTATGTAGATCTATTGATCATTATTCATTAGTCATTATTCAAGTAAATGTCTACTATTACTGGACATTATTTCTCCCATTAGACATTATTAAGTACTCCGTACTATTTAGAGAATAAAAAAATTTAATTGAAGGTCAAAGCTTGTCTAGTTTGACTCGATAAAGTCAAACTGGACAAATACATTGGGATAGAGGTAGTATATACTCCCTCCGTCCCTAAATGGATTACAATTTTTTTTCTCTCTCCTCTCGATAACTTTTGTTTGTTTACGCGATTTCATTAAGTAGTTGATAAAATAAAATATTTTTGTCACCTCTTGTTTTGTAGAACTTTTCACGTAGTTTTTTAATATGTAATTTTTATATCTTATTGATATACCAATTTGTAAATAAAATGATTTCAAAAAGTAAGAAATTTTAATCCGTAACCCGCAATTTGTAATCAAATTGGGGACGGAGGGAGTATTATTTTGGTAAAAGATATACTACTCGAGCCACTTTGTAAGATAAGTTTTAGAATCATATACTCCCTCCGTCCACCAATGATCTTCTCATTGCACGTTACGAGGTTCGACCGATTTCATTTTTAATTTAATTTATTTGATTGTAAAGATAAAATTTAAAAATAAAATTTATATAGTAAAAAAGTAAATGAAAAGTTCTACAAAATCAGAGGTGACAATACTATTTTATTTCATGAAATGAATGATTAAAATAAGTAAATAAAGTGAGTTAAGTTTGACTATTTGAATAATATATGGGAAGATCTATGATAGACAGATTGAATATCATTGATGCTCCAATTATCTTAAACCTTTGCACAAAGGGGCAAAATCAATGTGGCCGTGACATATTGATTTTTCCCTTTTCCCCAATTTACCACCCACTCCGTCCCCTTCGTAACTTTTGCAATTCAACCATATCGCTATTCTTCCGACGCCAATTCTCTTCTTCTTTTATGTTGAGAGTTTTTATTGTCTCGGTAGATATTCGGAGTATAATATATAATTTTAAGTTAAATAACCAACTCAACCAAAAGCTCAAACTTATTGTTGCAAGTTTGTGGCTCTGGATGAGTTATTTATATTCTAACACGCTCCTCACGTGCAGACGTAGTTTTTTTCGAGCCATACACGTGAAACTTTAATTTTCTTAAAACTGGGTGCCGCTGAGTTTCGAACCCGTGACCTCTTAATCGACAAGGCTCTGATACCATGTCAAAGAACCAACTCAACCAAAAGTTCATTGTTGCCCAGTATGAGTTATTTATATTCTAACAAATACTACTTCCTCCATCTCTTAAAGTTTTTTTCCTTATTGAGTTTTTTGAGAATTTAAAGGAAAGATATTTTAGTCTTGACTTTTCAAAAATATCCTTGATATAATGGGGAAAGTATGATGTGATGAATAGATTATTAGTAAAAAAAAGTATGATATGATGTGTAGGATAATAATTAGTAGGGGAAAAAATAGTTTTTTAATAGAAAGAGAAAAATGTTTATAGGACAAGAAAAAAAGAAAAGAAAAAGAGTTCAAAGGACTTGAAACTTGAAAGAATGGGCATTCAACAACTAACATTTGGGCTTCATTTGGTATACGAAATTCAAGTCATAAAATAAAAAATAGAGATTTGAATTTCAATTCTGTTGTTCGGTAGCGCGAAAGTATGTAAATTTAAAATTAGTAGTGTAAAGATGAATTAAAATTGAAGAATTCAATTAAATCCAATAAAACTCATTAAGATTTCGATTTCAATTCTATCAATTTACCAAATGCACCATTAGTTTCAAGAAAAAGAATGCAATGTGCTTGGCATAGGCATTGGGTGTGGGTTAAGGAGTATATCATTATTATCTCTGCAGCTGCAAAGGTTGGTCCATTTGTCCATACCTCGTGTCCTTCCTCTAAATGAAGGCAGCATCTATATATATATATATATATATATATATATATATATATATATATATATATATATATATATATATATATATATATATATATATATATATATATATATATATATATATATGCACACGCATTAAATTTGCGGGGGCCCAAATCCCAACCTGAACCCAGACTTAAATTACCATACCTGCCTCTATCTCCTCCACTTTTTTTCTACGTACACCCTGTGGGGCTTGACCTGGCTAGGCTTGGTTTGGCTTTGCTGGCCAAACGCTTAAGGATTCAAATAATTCTTTTTTTTTTTAAATAAAAAAATGTGAGCTTGGCTTAGCATGGCTTGGCTTTGCCCCCGTGATTAGCTCCCATTTTTGCTGCACTAACGTACGTACGTACCCCATATGTACATGCATGCATGTCTGCGTCGCATGCAGAAAATGAATGAGGGGTCCAAAGTTCAATTCTGTGGCGATAATGAGTAGTGGGAGTTTCAAGTAGCGCGCAGCTTGAAATCATCATGCAATTGTTCACAACTTCTTTTAAAGTTCATTATTGACCGAGGTCCTCAAGTAAATTATCTTTTCCCCTTCCTCGATCCTAAAAAGTGACATAATTTTATTACTCCCTCTTTCAGCTAATGATCTTCTCACTATGTGTTACGAGTAGACCTGGCAAAACTAACCCGAACCAAATAATCCGGAACCGAACCCGATTTGACCCGAAAACTGAAGAACCGAAATAGAACCGAACACCCGAAATGATTCGAACTGAACCGAACCTGAACCGAATGTTTTCAGGCCCGATTCAGATCTGAATCCGATTTAACCCGAACCGATTAAACCCGAACCCGATTAGACCCAAAATTGATTAAATTTTATGTGCGTCCGTGTTAAATAATAAGATAACTACGGAGTATATCATAAATTGATTAAATTTATTATGTGATATTATTGATTTATTAGTAAATATTTAAAATATATGTGAACTAATATAAACCCAAATCGATACAAACCCAAATCGATATAAACTCGAACCGATACAAACCCGTTCCGATACAAACCCGAACCGAAACAAAAAACTAGTCAAACCGAAATAAACCCGGAACCGAACTGACCCGAACCGACCCAAACCGAGTATACCATACATCCGAACGAGACCCGAACTGAAAAGACCCGAACCGATTGACCCGATTGCCAGGTCTAGTTACGAGGCTTAACAAACTTTATTTTCAATTTATTTATTTGATTGTAAAGGTAAAATTTAAAAATAAAACTTATATAGTAAAAAAATACATGAAATTTTTTTCAAAACTAGTAGTGACAAGGGTATATTATTTTATGTAATGAGTAGTAAAAATAACCAAACAAAGTGAGATAAATTTCAAAGTGTGGCAATCTTTTATGTACAAAGGAAGTTATAAAACTTTGGTCCATATAAAACCCACATATATTGTTAATTCGTGGTTAAAGAGTGTTATAATTTTACCAAAAAATCAAGGTGTGGCAATCTTTTAGGGATAGAAGAGCAGTAAAACTTTGGTCCATATAAAACTCACCTATTGTCAATTGAGCAATGCTAGGTGTACACCACAAAGTGTACCCCAAATGTACACCACCTCCTTCTCCACCACACATTTTTATTTGATTTTTATTTACTTATTTTTTTTAAATTTTTTGCCTTTTTTAGTGGACAAGGAGGGGGTGGGGGACATATGGGGTACACCAAAAATGAAAACCCCTAGCATTTTTCTTGTCAATTCTCTAAGAGTATTGACAATGGCAAGGCAAAAATGAAATGCTACACGGTAACATAGATTATTTCAACCAATAAAAAGTAACACAGTCACTGTGTGGCAAATGAGTGGAGTGTCGTAACATAAAGTGGCAAGTCGTTGTTTTTGTCTATTTTTGCACTTTTTAATGATTTTTAATTATAAAAAATTATTTTAAAAATCTATTTTATTATTAAAATATGTTTACTTCTTTTAACAAATATTTTTTTTTCAAAAATTAAAATATTAAAAATATTAAAAAAAATAAAAAATGAGAGAGTCATGCCTTGCACATGGAATGAAAAGTGGGGTGGAATGGTCATGAAATGTCATGATTTGAGTGGAATTTGCATGAAAAGTAGAGTATATACATCTCTACCCTCAAATGACCGTTCAACTGGTTCTGAAAAATTCTCTATATATTGCTAGTACAACAAGATTCTCTCTCTCTCTCATTTTCTCTACAGCAGCAGCAGTCTGTGAATACACACATGCAGCCAGGTCGTGGTCAGAGTGAAAATCCAATTTCAACCTTCCCCACGTACAGACCATTAATAATAATAATAATACTCGGTACGTATGTATATATACATATGTAGGAGTATTTTGAATTGGAGATGAATGAAGCGTACGTAGTGTAGTGTGAATTGGAGTGTACCCAGGTAGTACTGCGTCGTTTTATAGTACAAAATTGTCAATCATGTGTTGTATAACATCAGCTCCATCAGAATTTAAACAATATGTCTGTACCTGTAGTTTTTTTTTGTTTTGAATAAAGATAATGGATCTGTTATTAATTAAATACTCCTAGTACATACAGACTCTTAATTATAATTAGAATTGTACAGCTGAAAAATAGAGACCTGAATTGCATTATGGGCGAAAAATCTTTGTTTGCTACCCCGAAAACTAACATCCACACGATCCCAACTCAACTTCGTAGTCAAGCCTTTGATCATAGCTTCTGCATGCACATATATAAATGCATTTCACGTCGATCATCACAATATGTATACACATCAGTTCAGCACTTTTTAGTTCAGAATGTTAATTTAAGTGGAAAAGATTAGTAGTAAGCGGCCGATGTAATAATAAAAATTAACCTTCAAAATGAGTAGCCTTGTGTTTGGTTCTAGCAATCACCAGAGAGCCTTGGCTTTGGGAGGTACTACTACTCTTTGCTGCTGCTGCTTCTAGATTGACAATGTGTGGATACTTTTCAATTATACTTTTCATGATGAGATTCTTACGCTGAAAAAACGAAGCATTATTATATTTCAGCTGAGACAATTCGCATATATACATACAATTCACTTATTCACAGTTTAGCAGTGACATATTATAAACAAGTACTATTGGTTAGTTAAGTGTACCTTTGGAAGCTCGTTTGTTGGCCGTATTGATGATGTACTCCACCCAACAATTTCTATTATCTCAACTGTTAAGGTTATGTTCGTTATGCATACTCAAAGACAGGGTATATGTATAGGTATGTGATCCAACACAAGACGGGGAAGTATGTAGTGAATGATGTTTTGTAAAGCTTGAATGGAAGAACCCAAAGTAGAGATCTTACAAGATGTTAGCTGTATTTGATTGATGAAACTTAACACCAGAAATTAAGTTGATGTTTGGGAAAAGCTGTTTGCATTATTTTGTTAGCTCTACACATTAAATGTTTGAAATAATGGAGTTGTTTTGATTTGGCCACTTTTCACTTAATTAGACCTTTAGTTGTTTATGCAGATACACCCATATTTGGTTCTCCGTTCAGTTATAATGCACCATTGGGCTTAACATATATGTGAATGCACAAATTAAACAATTAATATCTTTAATTATTCAATCATGTTTAAGAAAGGAAAGTATAAAAAAGTTGACAATAGCCTTTTTCTTTTTGAAAAGTAGCCTTTTCTTTTTGAAAATTAGCTTTTTGAATTGCTCATTAACAAGCATTCAAAGTAGCTTTTTGACATATTCTAAAAGTTAAAAAAGCACTTCAAAAGGGTCTTTACAAAACAGGGGCAAAGTGCAGGAGCAGGAGGGAATATGTCCTCAATACATACCCATAGAAACCACAAAAACTAAAAATTAAAGTAATATTTAATATATTGTATTGTATTCCAAATACCCCTAACCTCATATCTCAAGAACATATGATTACTATCTGATCTTCCACTAGGAAGATAAAAATCAAATATGTATGATATAGAGAAACAACAACAACAACCCAGTTAAATCCCACAAGAGTAGGGTCTGGGGAGGGTGTGTGTACGCAGACCTTGCCCCTACTCGAAAGTAGAGAGGCTGTTTCCAAAGAGACCCCCGGCTCAACGTCGAAAGTTGCATTGCTTGACTAACTGATACTCCCTCCGTCACAAAAAGATTTACACGTTTCAAAAAAATTGTGTCTCACAATCCCTTACTCATTTCTATTAAAAAACCACTTTTACCCCTTAATTTTTCAAACCCTACCTATCACATCATACCTTTTTCCTAATAATCTACACATCACATCATACTTTTACTCATCACATCAAGGGTATTTTTGGAAAGTCAACACAAAATTATCCCTCCCTTAAACTCAACTTTAGTCAAAATGGGTAACACTTTATGAGACGGAGGGAGTATTTCATTAATTAAAGAAGAACAGATAGTTTAGAGATCCATTTTGATTTATTCCATCACACCCCAAGAGCAGATAGTTTAGAGAAAAAAAAATAAAAGCCTTATCGTAAAACACCGTGAATAAAATGAAGGGAAGTTCCCTAGCAGAAGATTAAAAACTGTATAAACAAAGGATACGGTCGAAATGTATATTCGCATAAGCCACGCGACGCTTGAACGCTTCCAAAGCTGATCTGGTAATAAGAGATTTGGTGTTTAAGAAAAGGGACTATTTGACATTGCATTTAATTGTTGTTACCATTATTAATTACCACAATTAATTGTGATCATTTTGGTTCAATGAGAGATAGCAAGTTAATCCAATTTCTCTTTCACAATGACACTTACATGAAGGGAAGATCTTCAGAATCAGTAGCCATCTGAACCAGAAGAGGATCTTTTCCGTTATTATTATCCGTTAAAAAAAGATGTCTTCCTGTTCTTCCCAGCATCCATGAAGCACGAGACGCCGCTTTCTCCATGGAGTAAAGTCCACAGAATGCAGGGACCTGCAACAGTTAAATCCCAAACAAGATTTATAAAATGTTTGCGAAGTTTTAAAAACAAAAGAGGAGAAAACAAGGACTGGAATTTAAGTTACCTGTTTGTGTCCCCTGCAACCAAGATGAGGTGTTGCAATGGTTATGAAATTCACAGGTTCCAGTCCAGCAATGTTGCCTTTCCGTACAACGCTACTATTACATTTACATCCGTTTACTATCACACCCTCTCCATTACGCTTTTCTGCACAACCTTGACTGTATAGTTTGGCAATGGCATATCTTGATATCAGACCTCCAAGTGAGTGACCTATAAATGAAATCTTTTGAAGGTCTGGATAACGTTGTACGACAGATATAACCTAGGAGAAAGAAAGAAAAAAAGGAAAAGATCATTTTTTGCCCTGTTTCCAGTTTGAATCTTAAGAAACAAAGTTATAAAAACACAAGGATCATGTCTAAAAATCTCAAAAAAAAAAAAAACTACATTTGGCAGACAAGTGAACATTTTATACACACCTCGTCAGCTAGCCTCTTCCCCGTTACGTCAATGCCATCAAACGTTAGTGTTTTAGAATTTGATTTGCTGCCTGGAAATAGCAAATCAGTTAAGTGGATGGTTTTAAATTAATTTACTCTGTATTAGGAGTGTAACAGATGAATTTTAATTGATTTAGAATATTAAAACATGCATTTAGGGACACTGTTTTGCTCGGGTTGAGCTTAACTAAAAATTACAATGAGAACAGATTTTATAAAATGGTAAAAATCAGCAGTAAGAATAAATAAAAACTGGTATGAATCAAAGAGCTTACAGTGAACAATGACATCTCTTGGAAAAGCTCTCACAAATTGCTTTGCAGAAAATTTCCAATTCTCAGCACTGCAGAAGAACAAGTTATTAGACATTGATTATCCCAAATCATCACAATAACTGCTCCAAGAAAGAGTCTTTTTACAAAAAAAAAATAAAAAGAAAAAAAAGGGGAGACATTTCAATCTCTAATTACATTCTTCAGAAGTAGTTAAAGTATACCTGCCTATAATGCCATTGACCATAACAACCAGGTGAGTTGACCGTTGACCTTTTCCGGCAGCCTCTACGTCGAGGCCTCCATCACCGTCCGGCCGCTCCTCAGTGGGCACTTCTTCATCCAGCCTCATACACGGGAAGAGATAAGACCTCTTCTTGAACCTCCTTTTTCCATTGATACTCAAAGTGCTGTTCTTCTTATTCCCAGCCATACCCTTCTCAGTATCTGCTTCTTTGAAGGAGAAATCTGGTTCACTCTTCACTTCCGACGCCATTTTTATAAATTAAAGAAATTCTTACACAGCTAGCTCTGGGTAAAAAACCCAGAAGAGGTTTGGCATTTATATAATTATATGGCCACCGGTAAGACTGCTCTGAGAAATGAAGAACCTTTCTGCTTTGAAGTTTTCAGGCACTGGAAATCTTGTGAGAGATAAAAGAGAATTAGTCAACATTCACATTTGATGACGCAAGTGGTGGTGCATATTCATTGGTCATGAGCAATACTGCAATAGCTTTCTTTTTCATTTTCTTTTTTTTTTTCCTTCTTTTTTTCTAAATTAAAATTTTTCGTCGTTATCAAAGATATGAAGAATTGAGTTCGTTCCTCACAACTATGTTGGGAGATAACTATGCCAAGAATGAGAATCTCTGCAAGTATACCAAATGCAGACTCCACTCTACCACTAATCTACGATCAAAATCTAATTTATTTTTTTCACGATTACCATCCTGCCGAGTCTAATGGGACTCAATCCTTTATTTTCTAAATCAAATTCTCTTGAAATATTCTTAAGCCACGTGGGATGAACTGTGCTGCTTTTTAGCACCATGTGCAGTGGAATAGCGGCGATAGATCAAAACAAAGCACCTTCAGTGTAGGCCGGAATCTAAGTTTGAAGTTCTGGAATGCGGAGACAAAGACTAGATTAGAAGAGGGCTAAGTCTAATCCCTCCAACTAACCTACTCATAAACAGTTTAATGATGAATTTTCTCCTTCATCAATGCAAACCCAATACCCAACCCATCTCTAGAAGACTTTCTGATAATGAAAGTTAAACCCATAAAATAAAATTCCTAATATCTCATGGAAAGTCATCAACAAATCTTGAAGAAAATCTAAAGACTTACTCCCGCCCTCCAAAAACATCTATCACAATAAGCAAAATCTAGTGAAATTTTAAGTATTTTTTTAATTAATTTTATTTAAAAATTAGCATTAAAATAATAAATAAAATTTACATAAAATAAACGATGAAAACATAAAAATAAATACAAGTTCCTGAGATTTTTTTTAAGGAATATCTTTTACTATCCACATATTTCTTTACCAGAAATACAGAAAAGGATAATTTAGATATGAACAAAAAAAAATTAGATTACTTTATTAACCAAGCAATGCGAGAAGTTGTATATTACATCTGTCCATCAGCATTAGTCAAATTTTGTATTTTTGTAGTCAAAATTGACAAATTTTAACCATTAATTAAACAATACTAATAATCCATATTAAATAATGATACAAAAACTATTTTATTAGATTTGTTTTAGAAAATATATTTAAAATATTGTTTTATACTAGTAATTTTTATTTAATTATAAGTCAAATTTTAAAATGCAATTACTACAAAAAGTCAAAATAGAAAAGAATACTAATTAGGGTCGGAGGTAGTATTCTGTATCCAACAAAACAGAAATACATAGCTGTATTGTCAAAATTTCCGAGATGATTGTTGGTCCGGCCAGCCACTAGTAACACCCTTCTGTGAAGAGGATGCATGGGAAGATGAAGATAATGAACTCACAAACCAACCATATGATTATGCCGTTGGAACAATCACAGAAATTACTCACTCCAATCCTCTCTGATCATCAGATGCTTCTGCCAAAACTGGCCTTGTCCTTCTGCATTCTCTATGGTTTTTAAAACTTCTCATCATCTTTGACTGGCAAGGGAAAACATTCTTGATCAAATGAACATCAAAGAATGCAACCATGTTTTGCATATTTCCTTGAGAAATGGGACCTCAAGAAATGCCACATGTTTCTTTATAGCATCTTTTTCCATGTTCAAGAAAATAAACTGCTTGATCAATGCAAACCCACCCATCTCTTAAAAGCCAAAGCAGCCTCCCGTTTTTTAAGCAGGGCTTCGGTTTGGACCTTGGGATCCTTTCCCTTGTGAAGTGTTCTATGGTACTTCAAGAAGAGCGCGCGATATTTGTACTTATCCACAAACATTTTCCCTTTCTCTATAATCTCCACAACTTCATTTGCTCTTGTGAAGAAGCCGCCTCTCACAAACGTATAAAGCACCCCATCCAACAGCTCCTCGTCAAACTCCATTCCACCACAAGACGCAATCGATTTCATCTGACCCCATAAATCTGCCACCTCTGTGTACTGTCCACCCACAGCAGCATAGCCAGTGACCAAAGAATGAAACGTTTGTGCATTTGGAGAGTGTCCCAAACTCCTCATTTTCTTGAAAGCCTTTTCGGCATCTGTCATCAGATGTTTTTTGCAGAAGAAATGAATCACGCTGTTCCACTCATGAACTCCGTAGTCTACTTTTTGCCCTTCCTTTATTTCCTGCAAGAGCTTTGGCATCAAACCAGCTTCTTCTCCATTCCCATCTGTAGGCTGAAACCCTTTATGCCCAGATCTTGGGATTTTGGCTTCTTTCATCTCCTTGAACAAGTGAAGGGCTGACTGAGTATCTTTATGAAGCAGCTGTGATTGGATCAGTACGTCATAACAGCTTGCGTCTAATTGGACACCTGCTCTACGAGCATCTCGAAGAAGAGATGCCACTTCTCCTGTCCTTTTCTCTTTGCAGTATGCCTTCAACAGAGAAGAATAAACAGAAGAACCTGTTTTAACGCCGGCCAAGCGCATTTCATCCAGAAGATCATGAGCCAGATCTAACCACCCAAGTGAAATGCACGAATTGATTGATTGAACCAAGACTGAGTCATCAACAGAAACAGGGGAATCTTCTTTCTCAACCTTGGTTAGGAAGTACACCAGATCCTGCGCCCTGCCGGCTTCTAGGAAAGCCTTTACTAGTTTCACATATATTGTTTCTGTGGGCTGGAGTATTCCATGCTCGCTAGTTATCAATTCAATTTGGTGTTTCAACTTGGCCAACAAGTTATCAAGCAACTCTTCTGCCTCAGCCTGAAGTTTAAAAAACTTCCTGTCTCTACAGAAATCTTGAAATGATAAGATCTTTTTTTGCTCTTTGTCCTGATTTCCACTGTATAAATCTCCTCCAGATCCATCATCCTTATGGTTTGATGAACGGTTGCACCTCTCAGAGCTTTCAAACAGTAGATTAGCCACACCAAGGGAATTTTGAGCTTTCTTTGCCTTGTGAAGCATTTCTAGGACCATGTGGGAGGCAGAGTCAAGATCTCCTGAATTCAAATGGCATGCAAGCAGACAGTTGTAGAACTGTCTAAATTGGGTATCAGTTAGGTCGTGAGCCTCGTCAATGTGTCTCTTGAGCTTCTTCAGCTCATCCAGTCTTCCATTCTTCTCGTAAATATGAGCCATAATAATCAATAAGGTTGTGTCGGCTTTCATGTTGATCCGAGGCATCATGTCAAGAAGTTGCTCTGCTTTTCTGGTTGTGCCGAACAGAACACATCCACCTAAAGATAAGTTGAATGAAGTAATATTGGGCTTCATAGCAATCAGGGGTGAATTGGTCTTTTTACGGGGGTCGACTCTTCCATCTTGAAACAGATAACCTATTTCAAGAACCAGCTCTGCAGCAAGATAAGCTCCTTCGGGAGTTTGTGACATATGGCCTATGATTGCAGACCAGGCACCCACAGGTGGAAACATCTCAGCCTCAACAAGCTTCCTGAGAAGAGTAGATGCTGGAACAGGCAATCCGCATTTTGAAAGTGCAAACGAGAGATAAATCAAACTCTCTTTCTCCAACAGATTAATCTGGTCATCCTCAAAGATTTGCTCAACTAGGGCATATGCCTTTTCAAGCCACTTAGCTTCTAAATTTTCTGCACATGATGCTAACAGTCTGTTCACAAGTGATTTCCTAGGGAGCCCATCCATCCGGATATGTCTTTCCAGAAGCTCCCAAGCACACAAAAAGTTGTGCTCATCAATTGCGCGTTCCAAATCCTCACTCATTTTACCCAGGTCTTGAGCCTGGACAAGGATAGTCCCAGACATGGTTGAAAATGATTGAGATAAGAAATGCCGAAACCGAACAACATTACTTTGGTGGCTTATGTTGGTCGATAATGAACCAACCACCCGATTAATAAGCTTTAAATTCCCATCACCATGAAATGGGCATCTATAGATGAGCCTACCGCTGCAATAAACAAGCACCAAATTTAAAGAGGAAAGGGCAAATTTTGCATTCAGGTGGCTCAGTTTCCTAATCGACACCATCTCTCAGAAATAACTTTGCTTAGTCCATCAGATATTTGTATCAGCCAACGAAGTTTAACAGCTTTGCAATACACAAGTTTCTGTCACCTACAAGAACAAATTAAAAAGAAAATCAGTAAGCATACTCTAAAAAAAAGTATAATAGCCTAAGACTGTAAAAACAAACTAGAGTGAAAATCTTGATTAAACCAAGAGCAAAGACATTATCTTTCTCTATTCTATTAAATCTGTCTATCTATTAAAAAATGGTGTTTGCTGTGCCAAATTTCAAGAATATAGCGAAGAAAATACTTAGTTGAAACGTGGAAATAAGATCTGCAGAAGAGTGATATTTCATACCCATCTTCGAAAATAATGATAAAAACATCTAATAGTGCATTCCTGTCTGGATAATTTGAAAAAAGACAAGATTTTTGTTTGAGAAAATTTGAAGATGAGCCAAGAAACTGGATACCTGGACTGGATATGGAAGAACCGTGAAATGGAAGGGGAGAAGAAAGCCGAAGGGAAGGTATGCTTCGTTTGGCAGGAGCCTCAACACACAGCCCTTGTTCCCCAACCCGGGTGCATCACCCAAACCCGCAAACGGAAAACCGCCCGGCGAAATTGAAAAATTGAAAGAGTACAACACAAAAGCAGAGTGAAAATGGCCAAATGGGTTTGCTCAGATTCTTCGGAATCGATGAACTAGACGAGGAAGTGAAAGTATGATGCTCTTTCGTAACGATCGACCTGGGTAGCTTGGGAGTGACGAGTGACGACCCGCTATCTGCATCCAATTTCATACGGAGTAGAAAACCATTCTCTTCTTTTACCCTGGAGAACTTCAATTTTAACAAACGGAGTATCTAAAAGGATAAAAAAAATATTTTAAATTTAAAAACCTAATTAAAAAAATTGATGGTCCAATATCTTTTTAAAATTCTTACTCAAGAAGACAATGCCGAGTTATATTTTGGAATTTTTAAGAAAATGTAGATGTAAATAAATGCTTGAGTCATAAAATAATCTAATTAAGATATTGAGATTAAGTAAGTTAAAATCACTTCAAAAAAAATTGGAGTAATTTACTTAAATAGGACTAAAACATAATAATTTTCTCAATATAGGACCATATGTTTTTATTTCCCAATGTAGGACCATTGGTCATTATCTATTAGTCATTATTCAACTAAATGTCCAATATCACTTGGACATTATTCTTCTCACTAGTCATTATTAAGTCTTATTTAGGAAATAAAAACGTTTAAGTCCTATATTAGAAAATGACTTATGTTTTAGTCATATTCAGTGTAAATTTAACAAAAATTTGATACCTGAGCAGTAGTTTTTCATTTTTTCAAAACTCATCATGTACCATTTGGAAAACAAGTAGATTCGGTTCGAAATATAATTTATTCTGTATAAGCATTTTGAAAATTGAAATCTCATATTACAATTCGATATTGTCGGTTCGATTTGAAACAAGGTTGAGTCAATATTATACTCACCCCTAGGGTCGCTTTATCGGAAGACAACAAATACTGAGTATTTTCCAAATCACGACCACTAGGATTCAAAATCAAGGTGATTGTAATGAGACAAAGTTTGAGATTTAAAGTCACCTTGAACCCCACATTAACCGTTAGCATTGAGTGACTTGGTAATTTTGTTTAAAATTGGTTTTTCAAAATAAAAGTTGGGTTTAAGAGGAGGGGAGAGTCCCACCTATGCTCATCTCTCTTATTTTTCTTTTTTTTTTTTATATTATTTACATATACTCATATAGTACTCCGTGTCGATTAATTTAATTAAAGTAGAAATATTTTTTCGATTAATCTAAAAGAGATACCTGCGGGGTAATTAACAAAAATATCTAAAAGAGAAATAAGTTTAACACATAAATAGTGCATTGCAACATTTCATGGGGAATGCACCCTAATTAAAGGATACCCCGATACGTGTTCAAACAATGGATAGATTGGAAAGTTAGGTTATAATGAACTCAATTTGATTGAAAGAACAAGAATGTAATCGTCCATTGGAATTCAAGCATTCATTAAACAGCCTTTGTTTTTTCGTTAACAATTCTGCAAGTCAAAGAAACATCATCCTCATCTCCAAGTATTTATTTCTTGAGGGAAAGAGACAGCTGAAAGACAAACGCATGATCTAATCACTTCTTGTTGTCGTGTTTGGCATGTTTTTTTTTTGTTAATGGTTTATGGCGTAGTAGTTTGGAAACAAATTTTTTAATTAGTTTATTAGCGACTTGTATTACTCCATTACTCCGTATAATAGTGAAATTTGTAGTGGATAGGACTAAAACATACGGAGCAAGTAATTTCTCAATATATGACTTAAATTTTTTTATTTCTTAAATAGAACTTAATAATGTCTAGTGGGAAGAATAATGTTCAAATGAAATTGGACATTTAGTTAAATAATGACTAATATATAATGATCATTGGTCCTACATTGTGAAATAAAAACATATGGTCATATATTGAGAATTAAAATTCATTATATTTTAGTCCTATTTAGGTAAATTACTCTATATTTTAATACTACGTGTGAATTGAATTAAGTTGAAAAACATCAAAGTTAAACAATATCGAGGCCTAGTTTAAGAACAACATTTTCAAATAACGTCTACTGCTCCAATCAAATCACTTCAACATTTTCGATATAGAGTATTAAATTTAATGGGCTCACATATAAATGCATTCAAAGAAATGGATATTTAATGTCAAGGAATCAATTTAATTAAAAGTTCAAGTTTGTGGTTGTGATCAGAAAATACTATTTATACTCTAATACGTCCCTCACGCGCAGAAGTAGCCTTTTCCAAGAATTGCATGTGTAACCATAACTTTTTAAAAAAATTAGGTGACGCCGAGTTTCGAACATGTAAGCTCTTAGTCAACACGACTAAAATACCATGCCAAAGAACCAATTCAACCAAAAGTTCAATCTTGTGATTGTAGGTCATGAAAGGTTATTTATATTCTACGGAGTAACATTTAATACTCTCTCAATCTAATACTCCGTATAACATATCTATCACTCATAATCCATTAAATAAAATCATCCATCCATCATCATTTTAAACACCAACAGTGCAGATGCTCTTTTTTTTTTTTGAAAACACAGTGCAGATGCTCTAATGGACGGAAAAGATGTCCTAAAATTTGATTAGTTTTGAAATTCTATATTTTAATCTCAAGAAAGTGTTCTAAATATATGTTTACCAAACAATTCTAATAGTTACGCATTATTATACTTCAAAAATGTTTAATTTGGGATATACCAAGTTGTACCCACAACTTATTGCCGAAAAACGTTGTTTTCAATCCGGGACAATCCCATCCAGCGCGCCTTAATTTTCATAAGACTTAACGTGCAAAATTTCCTAATTATACGCATGCAGGATTTAAAATTAAAAAAAAATCGGTACGTACGTTTGAATATAAAATGAAGCGTTTATATGCATCCAATATCTGAGTCGCCAAATCACATTGGGAGTATTTGAGATTTGTGCAGTGGGTAGAAGAAATAGGGGTTGCAGAGAGAAACTGATCGATCGATGGAGGATATATACATCGAGAAGCATCTTCTCACCCATGCCAACAATATGATCCAATTGGAGGTATCACAATTATTTAATTATATACTCCCTCCGTTCTCAAAAACATTCCCTCTTTCATTTTGTTCACTTCTAACAAAACACTTTCCCTTTCTATTAAAAAACCACTTTTACCCTTACTTTTTCATACCCTACCTTTCACATCATACTTTTTCTCTAATAATACATCCATTACATCTTACTTTTACCCATCACATCAGGGGCAAAATTGGAAGTCAACTATAATTTTACACTTCCTTAATTTGCCTTATTTTCCAAGTGGGAAGGGTTTTCCCAAACGAAGGGAGTATCTTTTAGTATTAGGGGCTGTTTGTTTCAGCCTCTTAATGGTTCAGATGTCTGAATGGTTCAGCACTTAATGGTTCAGACTGTTTGTTTCAGCCTCTTAATGGTTCAGATGTCTGAATGGTTAAGAGATTTGCCTCTGAATGGTTAAGTATTATAAAGAGTCTGAATGGTTAAGACCTCTTATCTGAATTGATCAGACATTTGCCTCTGAATAGTTAAGCAATATACTAGCTCTTAATGGTTCAGACCTCTTACTGGTTCAGCACTTACCCATTCAGAAGTTGCCAAATAGCCCCTTAATCTATTTTCATATGGATTAATTACGTACTCCAAAATTAAGATTTTCATTATAAATGTATTTGGATGATCATTCATTTGAGTGACTTTTTGACATTTTCATATTTCTAATATTTTCGACGTACTTCTTCCAGTTTTTTCTATTTTTTAATTTATTTTAATTTCTTCAAAGACCGAACTTAGAATTCTAGCTGAATAGAACTCACTCTTAATACGGAGTACTAAAAAATTATTGGATTGCTCGAATTGAAAAAAGTCAGATTAGAACTAGGAAAATTTCCTTAGAAATATTTGTACTAAATAGCACTAAAACTTAAGTCATTTCCCTAAATAGCACTTAAATTGTTTTATTTCCTAAATAGCACTTAATAATGTCCATAATGTCCCGTGATAGCAAATATTTACTTGAATAATGACTAATGCATAATGACTAAAAGTGCTACATTGGGAAGAAAAACACATGTGGTGCTATTTAGGGAAAGTCATTATGTTTTAGTGCTATTTAAGTAAATTACTCATTTACTTAAATAGGACTAAAACATAATGACTTTTCTAACGTAGGATCATATGTTTTTGTTTCTCAACATAGAACTATTGGTGATTATCTATTAATCATTATTGAAGTAAATGTCAACCATCACTCAACATTATTCCTACATTTAGACATTATTAAGTCATATTTAAAGAATAAAATAGTTTAAGTCCTACATTAGAAAATGACTTATGTTTTAGTCCTATTTAGTGCAATTTTTTCTTAGAACTATTTCAAGCGCTAAATTCCACTACTACCTCTATTTCTAAGTACTTATTGAGTTTTGACATTTTATGGTCAAAGCTGACAAACGTTGATCACTAATTAAATAATAATGATACTCCGTATTAGATATTGATACATAAGTAATTTAATTGTATTTATTTGATAAAATACTTTTAAACTACTATTTTATGTAATTAAAAGTTAGAGTACTCAGACATTGCATGCATAATGCAGGGTGGAGTAGCAAGTTCAAATACGAGTAGGGGACAAATCCCTGATGGCGGAGGAGACGAGAAACAGAATAAAAGTGCTGTCATCATACTAAACCCTGAATTCGAACAAGGCCTGAATAACTGGACAGGAAGAGGGTGCGACATCCTTCTCCGCGACTCCATGGACGACGGAAAGACCGTTTCGCCCTCGGGAAAGGCTTTCGCATGCGCTGCCAATAGAACACAGGACTGGAATGGCATTCAGCAGGACATCTCAGGTAGAGCCCAACGAAAGCTCGAGTACGAGGCCACCGCCACGGTCCGCATCCACGGGACGGCAAACGTTTCAGACACCGCCCAAGTCCGTGCAACGTTGTGGCTCCAGTACCCTGATCTTCCAGAACAGTACATTGGCATTGCCAGGTAATTATTGTTCGTTTTACATACTGATGAGTTATTCTTGCCACAATGAATAGTAGGAATTTCGGAGTTGATTCGTTTTTATTAAGTAGAGTGGAAGCAAAAGCCCAGGAATGGACGCAATTACAAGGGAAGTTTCTTATTCATGGTTCTCCTTCAAAGGTTGTTATATTTTTGGAAGGACCGCCTCCTGGTATTGACATTCTCATTAGTTCTTTCGACGTAAAACATGCTCCTAAAGTGCCCCCATCTCCTCCCCCACTCATCGAGGTACACACGTACCTGTTGGACTGCATGAACATTTACTTGAATAATGGCTAATGGATAATGATCATTACTATTCGGTCTTCGGTGTGTATGATGTATATATACGTGCAGAACCCTGGCTATGGTGTCAATATCATTACAAATAGCAACCTCAACGATGGGACAAACGGGTGGTATTCACTTGGCAATTCCACCATGACTTCTGCACCTGGCTCACCTCGTATACTGCCGCCCATGGCTAGAGACTCCCTAGGACCACATTCTTTGAGCGGACGATATATTCTCGTGACCAACCGCACCCAGTCATGGATGGGTCCCGCCCAGGACATCACGAGCAAAGTCAAACCGTTTTTGACGTACCAAGTGTCCGCATGGGTCAAAACAGGAAACAACGCAACTGGCCCTCCTCAAATGGCGAACGTCGCCGTCAGTGTGGACGGCCAATGGGTGAACGGCGGCCAAGTGGAGATCACCGATGATTACAGGTGGCATGAGATCGGCGGTGCTTTCAGAGTCGAGAAGCAACCGACGGCTAAGATCGTCGCTTATATCCAAGGCCCCTCTCCTGGCGTTGATTTGATGGTCGCCGGGCTTCAGATATTCGCAGTTGACCGAAAGGCTCGATTTAAAGATCTAAAGACACAAACTGATAAGGTAACCATAGAGAATTAATGATTGTTTGTGTATGTGTCTTGACAAACTTATATCATGCATGCATGCATGCATGCAGATACGCAAGCGTGACGTCGTCCTGAAATTCTCTGGATTGGGTTCATCTGGCACTTCGGTCAAAATAAGACAAACCCATAACAGCTTCCCGTTCGGGTCATGCATAAGCCGATCAGAAATAGACAACGAAGACTTGACTTCATTTTTCGTGAAGAACTTCAACTGGGCCGTGTTTGAGAACGAGCTCAAGTGGTACTCCACGGAGCCGCAACGGGGGAAGCTCAACTACAAAGACGCCGACGAGTTGCTCGACTTTTGCACGAAAAACAACCTTCAAGCCCGCGGGCATTGCATCTTCTGGGAGGTTGAAGCCGCGGTCCAGCAGTGGGTCCGGTCTTTGACCGAACCCGACATGCTGGCTGCGGTCCAGAGCCGTTTGACCGGCTTGTTGACTCGGTACAAGGGCAAGTTCCCGCACTACGACGTGAACAACGAGATGTTGCACGGCTCGTTCTACCAAGACCATCTAGGCAAGGACATAAGGGCAAACATGTTCAAAACCGCCCACCAGCTCGACCCCTCTGCGGTCCTGTTCGTCAACGATTACCACGTGGAGGACTGCGCGGACCCGCGCTCGTCCCCTGAGAAGTACATTGACCATATTCTTGATCTGGTGCGCCAGGGGGCGCCCGTGGGTGGTGTGGGCATCCAAGGACACGTGAACAGCCCAGTGGGCCCTATTGTTTCTTCTGCACTGGATAAGATGGGGACCCTCGGGCTCCCCATCTGGTTCACCGAAGTGGACGTCTCTTCGGTGAACGAACACGTCAGGGCGGATGATATCGAGGTCATGATTCGGGAATGTTTTGCTCACCCCGCGGTGGAAGGGATAACGCTGTGGGGGTTTTGGGAGCTGAACATGAGCCGGGAAAACGCGTATTTGGTGAACGCGGAGGGAGGCGTGAACGAAGCTGGGAAGAGATTACTTGGTTTGAAACAAGAATGGCTGACAAACTGCTATGGTCGTGTGGATGACAAAGATGAGCAGTATTGCTTTAGAGGGTTCCATGGGTCTTATGAAATGGAAGTCATCACTGCTTCCTCAAAGAGAATCACAAAGACATTTGTGGTGGAGAAGGGTGAAGATCCGCTGGTCATCTCCGTTGATCTATTATAAATTCACAGAATATGGAGTATCATTCATTGTATAAGTGTACATATAAATATTTCCTTAAGACTTTTTTTGAGTGCTAAATATTTCATTATTGTTGAACATGTGATTAATATATAACTGATTAACAGATGCATTCTTCGTGAATACATTTTCTCCGTTGGTTAACACTTCATTAGAGTATTTTTACTATTTTAAGATCAAACGTTATAAGAGAAAAGTCTATCATTGCGAGAGGAAGAATCAATTTACAGTACCGGTTACCGTTGGTATTGTGAAGAAAACCAAAGAGTAAAAAAAAGGCAGCTGAAACATCTTGAACCGACCGGAAAGTTAAGAATCAATTACTGTACTCCGGTAAATGAAATGGTAAAACGAACAGTCCCGTCATTTACGTACGTCCTAATTAAGGCCGTCGTCTATACATACACAACAATCATTCATCTCTGTTTATCAGCTTGTGATTTTTTTTTCACCATATCAGAGAGTTGAAATGGGCGATTCAAGTACAGCAATTGCTACCAGTAGTAATAATAATAATAATATCATCCTTAACCATGACTTCTCTCAAGGGCTACAGAAATGGACCCCTAATCACTGCAAAGCCCATGTGGTTCGTCTTCCAGCACCAGATGGCGGCGGCGCCGGCGGCGCAAGCGCCTGTTTTCATGCCGTCCTGACTAATCGTAAAGAAGGTTGGCAAGGCCTGGAGCAAGACATCACAGCCCGTATTACGCCAGGCACCGCTTATTCGGTCCGGGCTTGTGTTAGCGTCTCCGGAGAGCTTCCCGGCGGCCATACCACCTCCGTTCAAGCCACACTCAGACTTCATACCCGAAACTCTCCTACCCTCTATCTCCACATCGGAAGGTATGTATCCATTTAATTCCCTGTGAATTTGATGTACAACTTATAAATTTGGCATGTTTAATTATGTCACGTTTCTATTTGGCAGAAAAATCGTATCCCCATATTATTGGGGAACGTTGGAAGGCACATTTTTTGTGTCAACAGCACCAGACAAGGTGGAGTTTTTTCTTGAAGGGCCTCCGCAAGGAGTAGACATACTCGTGAAATCTGTCACACTCTTAGATTGTACCCTCTGGATAAATTCTGACGCAGATATTGAAGCGGGAAACCGCCATGGTAATAACAACAACAATAATATTGTCTTTAATTATGACTTTTCACAAGGGTTGCATATGTGGAACCCCAACGGGTGCAAGGCTCACGCGGTTGTAAAGGATTCGGGAACCACATTTGCTGCGGTTACAAATCGTAAGCAGAGCTGGCATGGATTGGAACAAGATATTACGAACCGAGTTGTCCAAGGTCTTAGTTATAATGTGAGGGCTCGTGTCAGAGTTTCCGTGAACGGTGTGGGAACCATTGATGTACAAATTGCTCTGAGACTAGAGTACCAGAACTTGGAGGCTAAACATTACCTTATTGAGAGGTAGAGTACAATATATATTTACAATTTAGTACGTGATTCTTACCCAATGCTAAATTTTATCATCCGTGCAATTATATATTCTTGCAGGAAACCGGTTTCCATAAACATTTGGGGAATATTGGAAGGTACATTTTGCTTGGGACTTTCAAAGCCAGATAGGGTAATGTTTGTCAAGGAACCAACTCAACCACAAGCTCAAGCTTGTGGTTGTGGCCCACGAATAGATATTTATATACTCTAACACGCTCCCTCACGTGCAGGCGTGACCTCTTTAAGTTTTGCACGTAAAACCTTAATTTTTTTTAAACTGGGTGGCGGTGAGTTTCGAACTCGTGACCTCTTGGTCATCAAGGCTCTGATACCATGTCAAGGAACCAACTGGCCCACGAATAGATATTTATATACTCTAACAATGTTTTGCGTGGAAGGGCCTTCAGCTGGAGTAGATATACTGGTAAAATCAGTCATAATCTCGCATGTATTTCCCTGGCTCCAATTTGCATCCTAAATCTACGTCTGATTCGACATTTGCAAGATGTTTACATTTTTATTAAATTTCTGACCATTTCTCAACGATAGTACATTTTATGCAAGCTTGTTAGCGATGGATATGTAATTTGACTTGGATCGTATACACTATCATTATTAGTGCAAAGTGATGAAATATTGAAATGGAATATAATACAGCACATCGAACATGCATACCATTAATTATAATGAAATATTTACTTAGATCGACACACTTTCATTTCTTTGAGAGTCACTTTTCCTTCTTAAATGGAATAATTTGAAAACAATTTTTTTTTCAGGATTCGAGTGAGTATGTCGTTAACCCTTTACATTTAAATATTCCCTCGCCCAACAAAAAGCTTCATACTTTCCCTTTTGATATATCACAAAACAATTTTTTTTCTTTTTTCCCAAAAAATTGTTTTATAGTTTAATTTTTGAGTAATTTACCTAAATAGGACTAAAACATAATGACTTTCTCAATATAGTACCATATGTTTTTATTGCCCAATGTAGAACCATTGGTCATTATCTATTAGTCAGTAATCAACTAAATGTCCAGCATCACTTGGACATTATTCTTCTCACTAGCCATTATTAAGTCTTATTTAGGGAATAAAAAAGTTTTAAGGCCTACATTGGAAAATGACTAATGTTTTAGTCGTATTCAGTGCAAAATTCACTTAATTTTTTTGAACGGAGAGAGGTAGAGTGTTTTCTTTTCTTTAAAACAATCTAAGTGGATATATTGTCAATTAACAAACAATGCACAAAATCATGGTGCTTGTTGCTTGCAACTTCCAAACAATATTTTTGGAGTAATTTGTCTAAATATGACTAAAACATAATGACTCAATGTAAAATTATATGTTCTTATTTTTCTAATGTAGGGTTATTGGTCATTATCCATTAGTCATTATTTAAGTAAATGTCAACTACCACTGGACAGTATTTCCCTCATTATCCGGTCTTCGCTGTCTGCGGGCGAGATCGGCCCAACGACAATTTTTAGCAGACACAGTTGCTTAGTTGAATGTTAGGCCCGTCTGTTGCTCTTTGGACGAAGAAATCACTTCTAAAGTGGGATTGCGATAGGCTCAAACCTCAAAACCCAGTTGCTTTTGTCTATGCTCTATGTTACTCCGTAATTTATTTGTTATTCTCTCCTCCCCAAAATGTTCCTTCCAATTACTCCGTACTATTTATACGATTAACTTTATTCACTTTTTGGTCCAACTTTTTTCGAATTGAAATCCGTTTACACCATTACGATCAGACAGTCAAACTCTATTAAACGATATACGGAGTAATTTTTATATTTATTTATAATATTTTTTTCTGAAATCATATTTTTGAGAGTTTGACTTTAATAGAGTCAAAATTAATTGAATTGACCTTTATTCTAAAAGGTATTCACATTTAATTCATATTACTTATTCTTATGACTTATTTCAATAAATCATTTCAAAGTTCACATCATAAATAAATTCTTCATTTATTCTTAATTTGGGTCTATACTCTGGTTCACAATCAAAATCACGCATAACTTCAACATATTTGATTTATCTCTATAAGATTTATCCAAATTGTGATATTAGATATTAAAATACATTTTATTTCGTCCCAAAGCCCAACAACAATTTATTTTAATCAAAACAATTTGTTTTAATTGAATAATAATTCAATAATAATTTTAGGATGTGTTTTGGGGCATTACACGTTAGGACAATCATATAAATGGTACTTTACTACATTAAAATTAATACGTAGTAATTTACAATTAATTAACTAGATGCTACTTATGGAAATCAAAACATGTGGTGCCATATAGGAAATATACTATGTTTTAGTGTTATTTGAGTAAATTTCCCATTTATTTAACCTATTTTTGGATGGGAAGAAATTGATGAGAAAGAAAATGTATGAATTGAATGAAAGAAAACACAGACTTCTAGATAAATATATTGTTGGTTTGAATGGAAAATGGAAATTTTCTATTCTTAATTATAATTTGATGGGTATGTTTTATAGTCTTTCTATTCCAAAATGATTTGCCTATTATGGTGTTTCAATAATTTTTGTTTATTTGTGTGTTTTTCTTTATCATTCGGTAAAATAAAATATTCTTATCACATCTTGTTTTGTAAAATTTTTATGTAGTTTCTGAAAGTTATAAAATTTTATACGTCAATCGAAAATATAATTTATTTCGGGGCAGAAGGAGTAGCACCGTAGATCACTCTCACTCTTTCAGATCTTCTCAATAAACGTGTTGGTCTAAAGAGTAATTCATTTAGGTATTTCTCCTATAAATATTGAATATATTGATACAATATTTTGGCGTTCTACATACATTGTACATGATATTTTTATTGTTTTGTTTAATTGTTTATACCATCTTAAAGAGAAACTTGTCTTTGGCCTCGTTTGGCATAAGCGTTAGAGATTAGCGTTAGCGTTTTAAAAAGGCTATCTGACGTCAGCCTTTAGCGTTGGCGTTTTCAGGGTTAATCTATACCGTTAAAATTTTATCTAAAACGCTGACACTATTTGAAAACGCTCTTTCCAAACAAGGCTTTTATTACTCATCGGATAAAAATGTGCTTTAAATATAATTAAAATCAAATTAATCAGATCAGAACTAATCAAATCAGATAAAAAGAACAACAAACCAAAAAAATGAATACAACCTACCATATATTATACGGAGTAATATAAATGTGCTTTAAAATCAAATGTGCTTTTATTACTCATCGGATAAAAATGTGCTTTAAATATAATTAAAATCAAATTAATCAGATCAGAACTAATCAAATCAGATAAAAAGAACAACAAACCAAAAAAATGAATACAACCTACCATATATTATACGGAGTAATATAAATTTGTATTTATATATTTTGATTTATTTTATGTTTTTTCTTTTGCGACCTCATTTTTGGATTCGTACAATTACAACGTCCTAAAATATACGGACCGGCCCTCCTATGTAAATCATATCAGTTGAATAAATATTACAGGGGCCCATTTAAAATTGGGTTATAAATGTTCTCAATAATACGAGTAGTTCCATTTTGGCCCAATTCATAATGTGACTGATTGAAAAGACATACTAGCCCAAAAGATATTCTCTGATTGACATAAATTTGTTTGGATGGAGAAAAGACTTTTAAGAGGCTAACATCAACCATGCTAGGTATACTATGACACTACGTTATACACCAATACTTTGATGATTTAGACGGATACAAGAAGTTAGCGATTAATTTTGCATTATACTAATGTCTTTCTTTTTCTTCAGACTGTTTTCAGTTTTTTCAATTTTTTCTAATTTTTTTCAATGCATTCCGATTTTTCTTACAACGACATAAAAAATACTTTGTATTTACTAATACTTCCTCCGTAGAACTTTTGATGTAGTGTTTTAATATATAAGTTTTATTTTTTAATTTTACACCTACAATCAAATAAAATGAATTGAAAATATATAAAGTTGGTCAACCATTCGCAAACAGAAATAGGAAGAAAGACAGAGGGAGTATCATATATCTAAAATTTGGTAAATTCTTTCGTGGAACAAATGTTCATGCTCATTATATAGACCTTAGTGCATTTGAGGTAATAAAGAAGTGGGCCTTTAAAAAAATAAGAAATATCCACATGCAAAGATAAATTGTTTTATCCAAACATTTATTTGGATGATCTTTAATTGAGTAGTTTTTTAATATTTTAATTTTTCTAACATTTTCTATCTTCTTCCAGTTTGTTTCTAACTCCTTTTAGTCTTTTACTTTCTTTCAACTCTTTCCAGTTTTCCCTGGCTGTTTTCAAACAAATTATATGTTAAATTGCATTTTGTATTATTGAATAAAGTATTTTATATTACATACGCATCAAAGATATTTTATATTATTATTGAAAGAGATTTTTAAGATGGAGTTGTTTAATGTTAACTTCTTCCATTATAACAAGACAATTACAATAATAACTCAGTTAATGTAATTGTAAAATACATTTGTTTTCTTTCCTCTATGTTACATCCAAACATTAGGAGGGAAAACCTTTTTTCTTTGAAATTTTTCTTCCTAATGAAATTTTTCATCCTTACGACCTTATCCAAAAAGGGTAAAAAGAGAAGTAATGAATGAAAATAAGTTAATATTTCTAAATTTAATAATCTCATATCTTCCTTCAAACGTAATATAATATATTCACTCTTTCCTTTATTTTCCACTTTTAATAAGTTTTTTTCCATCTTCTAACTTGAGGGTTAATTTGAAAAATAGTAGGGTTTCTTATTAATATGTGTATGTTAAGGTTTAATTGGAACCAGAATCTTTGGTAAAAGATTTATACCCTAAAAAGTGAACTCAATATCAATAAACTTAGTTTAAAATATTTATTTATCTATCTATCTATTTCATTTTCTTTATTTTTTTTATTTTTGTTGATTGTTTTTAGAAATACGGAGTAATATAATTATACTCCCTCCGTCCCCTAAACTCCTTCCCCTTTCTTT